TGGCAGGCGTTAGAGTCCGTAGCTGTATATTAAGCTTTAAGATTACAATTTCTAGGTCAAGAGGAATAAGCCCGGCTCTTTTAAAGGATATCTTGATATTCTTTTTTATTATAGTAGCCTGAAATGCGTTATAAAAGGCCGGGAAGAACTCGGTCTTTAAAACGTGGTTTATAGAGCATCTGATTAAATGCTCTATTTCTTGACTATAAGCCCTCTTGAGCACGCTGAAGCATACAACGTCAAGGGGCTGAAGTAGGTGAGATGAATGAGGTAGCATACAGAGCCGGATAATCTTCTTCTTCTCGCAATATCTCTCGAATTTAATGGAGTAGTAACTTTCATGGCCATCGAGGATCAAGAGACGATAGAAACCAATTAATCGATTGGTTATATGCCGGTTAAAGTACTTAAGCCACTCGAGACCAGTCTTATTATCAGTCCAGCCATTTTGGGTCGTTGCAATAGCCCAATTGCCCGGGAGGTTGCTTTCTTGATACCAGTTAGCAAGGTAATATTAGCCCGCACCGATAATAAACGGCGGGATCGACCAGCCTTCTACATTAATTGCTTAAATAACCGTAATCCATTCCCAGTTTCCAGGCTGCACTGATTTTAGCTTTTTACACCTTTTTGTGCCTGTAATAACTATTCTGCTTGCAATCATACCCATAAGAAAGCCAGTCTCGTTAAAGTTGTAGATATTATTTAATTAGATGCTGTACTTTGCGATTGTATTTGTTACAAGCCGAAACCAGTTATGGATAATAGTTGGATCTTCGCACTTAGCTCTCTAATAGTCATATTTACAAAAGAAACGCATCTTAAGCTCTTGGTGTCGCTTAACGAAGTTTGAAGCCCAGCGCGTGCCAACTAGTAGCGCGTCGCGGTCGGCAAGTAATTGATCAGCCATTTCTTTCACACCACATAGCCGGGGGGGAAATCCTCGCGAATCCAGGTCGAGAATAAACTGAATAAGGATCTGTTCCTCTAGATCAGATAGCCGATGTGATTTCTGGATGGTATTGCGTCGAGATTGGATGCCTTGTTGCCGGCAACGTAGGCGATGCTTAGAAATCTCATAGGTCATTGCAGCGCGTCGGATGCTTAGCTTCAGGTTATTTTGAAGGGCCTGAAGGGCAAGAAGGGTTCTAGCTTCAATATTAGAGGTAGGCATATTAGGTAGTTGAGAATTAATTAATTAAATGTAAAGTTAGATGTAAGAGGGAAAAGTGCAACGCTTATTTAACTGCAATGCTTACTATATATGTATGTTATTATAAGTATAAAAAAATATAAAAAGCTAAAATTAATATAGTCTGGAAACTGAAAATAAATTATAGTTATTTAAGTAATTAATATAAAAGGCTAGTTAATTCTGCTATTTATTATTAATACAGGCTAATATTACCTTACTAACTGATACTAAAAAAGTAATCTTCCGAGTAATTAGGCTATTATAATAACCTAAAATAGCTAGACTGATAATAAGACCAGTCTTAAGTAGCTTAAGTACTTTAACTAGTATATAACTAATTAATTAATTAGTTTCTATTATCTCTTAATCCTTAATAACTACAAAAGTCACTACTCTATTAAATTTAAGAGATATTACAAGAAGAAGAAGATTATCCAGCTTTATATACCACCTTATTCATCTTACCTACTTCAGCCCCTTGATATTGTATACTTTAGCGTGCTCAAGAGGGCTTATAGTTAAGAAATAGAATATTTAATTAGATACTCTATAAACTACGTTTTAAAGACCGAGTTCTTCCCGGCTTTTTATAATATATTTCAGGCTACTATAACAGAAAAGAATATCAAGGCATCCTTTAAAGGAGCTGGGCTTATTCCTCTTGACCCAGAAATTATGGTCTCGAAGCTTGATGTGCAGCTACGGACTCCAACGCCTGCCGAGGAGGATGCTGAACCGTCGACCCTTGGGTCTCAAAGACCCAAAGACCGTACTTGAGGCCCAATCTCAGTCTGAATACCTTAAGAGACGAATCAGAAGGCATTATAGCAGCTCCCCTGAGTTAATTATAGAGGCTTTGAAGTCTGTTAATAAGGCACTGAAGGGAAATATGCATGAGATGGCTCTAGTCAGGGCAGAGGTCCGAGAGCTTCGACTAGCAAATGAGACATTAAGCCGGCGCGGAGGGAAAAAGAACCCGGCTATAGAAAAGAGGGGTAATAACAGTAGAGGAAGGAAGGCAAGTAATTAATTAAATAGATATTGATATATAGGTAGTGGCCGAATCGTCGAGAAGTAGTAGTTAAGGGAGGTCGGCGCGACTGGGTATTCAGTATTATAGTATCTGCAGCAAGCTTAGTTATAATATAAGGACCTGTTAGATAGTAATTGAGATATCTAGTGAAGAGTATAGTGAGTAATTTTAATTAATTAAATAGTTTATGGTATTCTTATTATGATTTCTTTAGAGAAGGTTAAGAAAAGTATAATACTTACTTAATTACAACACTTACTATATATATATATTATAATAAAAATAGCTTTTTAATAAAGCTTTTAATAATTTTTAAAAAAAAACTGCCTTTAAAGTAATATATTAAAAAAAGTAAATAAGGTCTCTATAGAAAAGTTACTAAACTTTTAATTTACTATATCTCTATAAAAATCCCTTAAAGTAAACTATTTATTTAATTTAATATCTCCAGTTTATAGATACTTAAAAAACTTATTAATAATATTATTAAAAAGTAATTACTGCAAAGAGCTAGACAGGAGTTTGTTCAACAGGCTGTTGCCGTAGAATTGTCTATCTAAAGCTAAGGAGAAGAAGGAGGAAAGAAAGAAGGAAGCTGCTTCCTGTGACAGGCGGTTAGGGACGCTTGGGCTAGCTGGTCGCTAGCGGGGATGTCTCTAGGGTGGTCCGGATGAGGTTAAAAGGGGAGGTCAGGGCCGTCACAGGGGAGGAAGAATCGTCTTCTCTTTCATCAGAGATTCTTCCTGGAAGTCAGAGAGGCCGGAAGGGCTCGAGACTGCTAGGAAGTCTATTAATTCATTGCCTTTATTTTTGAGTTGACTGTCACTACGATCCTTGTCCTGCCTCCGTCTTCAACCTCTCTCAGATATCGGGCTGCCGCGGGCTCTATTGATGCCTTGCCAGCGAACTTTCCTGCGACCGACCAGATATTCTATCTCATTAGATGCTTCCCTACCAGGAGACATAAGCCTCAGATTGACCCGACCTCATACGCGTAATCTGGTGCAGCTTCGGGCTGACCAGCCAAGACGCCTGTGCGACGATCCTCTGTGTATCTCCCCTAGGGTAAGTTAATGAGTTGGGTGTTGTTTCCGTCCCTTTCAGCTGCTAAATTCCTCACCGCTAATATACTGCGTGGTTGCCCAGGTGATGTCAATTAGTGGGTTCCGGCACAGCCAGAACCCCAAGCCAGGCTCCAGCCTGTGACAATTACTAATATATAACAGCTGTATCCTCTATATTACAGTATATATTAAAAGAGAATACTAATTTAATAAAATTAAGAAAGCTAACTATATATTTAGACTAGGAGAGATACAGCGCAGCAGTCTTATTGTTAATACTAGAGATCTATTGGCTAAGGTTAATATCTAAGTATTTTACTTTTAAACTAAAGTATAACCCAGCTAACATGTATAATAAGCATGTGTACCAAATAAGCATGTGCACCACTTATACTGTATAGCTAAAAGTTAAAATTTTCAATTTTCTAAAATTAGCTATATAATTCTAGGAATTTTAGGGAATTAAATTTAGACATTTAAATAAAAAGTTACAAGGCAGTATTTTCTTTTAGATTTTTGAAAAATTATTTAGCTTTTTAGAAATAAAAATAAGAAAAAAAAACAGTGTAAATAAACTTTTTTTAAATAACTTTATATAAAGATTTTTTAAAAATATAGGAAAATTTATTATTATTATAATTAAGTTAATAGACTTAATTTTTCAATTATAGCTATTTTAAGTCTAGTTTAAATTTTTAAGAAATTTTTTAAAAATCGTGTTTTAAGGTGTAAAACTGCTTTGGTGCACTTACTTGGTGCACTTGCTTATCATGTACGTTATAACAAGACTATTCCTCAAAACAACAGCCACAGCTAAAAGCTTTCGTCCAAGGTCTTAATTGCTGTTAGACAGAAGGATCCGGGCCGGCTGGATAACTAAGGAAGCGGGGGTCTGTAGATAAGGGAAATCCCTCGCCGGTCAAGATAATCAAGAACACAGTCGATCGATCAATCATAACAACGTTATTAACATCGTAATCATCATCAATTCAATCAGCCTAAATTGGCATCATTTAATTGTATATTTCGCTATGTTAGAGGCACCCAACGAGATCTGACAATTGCTGTCGGATTATCCGAATTGACTAAAAAGACGATCCCCGATTATCTCATCATATCTTTATTAAGGTGTTGGAAAATGACTTTGTATTACGAAACCTCTGATAGATCGATATCCTGACCTTAGTCAGAGGGGGTGTCAGAAAACCCCTCTCTGACCGGCCCGGTCCAACCGGGCACAAGTAATCATCAACATCATCATCACTGCTTTCAACACTATCCATTTGATCGAATTGACCGTAACGGATCCATCAATTAGCAATAAGGGGTTATCTGAACAGGAGACGCAAACCGCAGGCGGTCTGCCCAGAAGAGCCTTGAGGAACAAAGTCAGGAACGGAAAATTGTCGAGCTTGAAGCTTATCATAGGCGGATTTTATCTCAAGTTGATATGAAAGGTTTTGGTGAAGGAAGTAAGTTTTGGTGGCTCAGTCATTGTGACGTTTGCCCAAGCTTAAGCAGGAAGTGTAATTGGCAGCTTGCCGTTTTGAAACGCACCTCTTGTTTTTTATGAAACCATGAGAACAGCAGTTGCGGAGTCGCACCATGAGAACTCGCATTTAAAAACAGATATCCAAAGACGTCGGGTTCAATTCATTCAAGCACAAGGAAATAATAGTCTCTACTGCCTACACTATTGCGGGAAAACATAGCGACGAGGCAAGTGCGGTTCGAGTTCTACGGCGACAACGCCCCCGACGGCCTGAAGTTTGCACGTAAGTTCGCAGAGGATCTCGTCATGGCCCGAGCTCAAGCCCGACAAGATATTGAGTACCACGGTCGATTTCGAAGCGCGCTGCTGCCTATTATAAAAGAACATGAAGCCACCTGCCGAGCAGCTTCTAGTTCTTTTTGTGGAATCTGCAGCTCGCCTGTTGCGACCGTTTTGCAGACGCCTATGTCTTTCCTTGACAGAGCAGAGGATCCCTTCGTAGGGGTACTTGCTAACGGCGTATATAAGAGAGGCGAATGCGAATTCCAGACGCGACGCAACGTCTAAGAGGAGATATCCGGATTTGGTGCTGATGGCCAGGCGTGCATGGAAGTCACGCCTTGCAGAATATATGGGAAGACAGAAGGGACAATGAGGTGCGGGCGGTGTAAAGTTACAGTATACTGTGGGAAAGAGCACCAGAAGCAGGACTGGAAGATGCATAAGAGAATGTGTGCACCTATGAGCAGGAAAGTATTATAAGAAGGGCAGGTGCCTCGGGAGAGTCAGGGCCTTAACCGGCCGGTATAAAATAAGTAATTATAATTAGAAGGCTACGTATTAGGTTTTGGTTTTCTTATTTAGGTAGAGAAGTGAGATTATTATTTACACACCTGCCCGTTTAAACTAACTTTGCAATCTCTTTGGGGGATGTCGGTTACAATACGGGCGAGAGTCGCCATTAAGATGCAGGGAGGGAAGAGACTCGAGAGATAATTCTGTAGGGTCAGCCGCGGTTGAAGGAGAAGGTGGGCTGGGTGAGGAGTTCGTGACATCCTCTACGTGCGGTAGATCAAGACGACGCCTCGTCGGATTCTGCGAAGATGGATTCTCGTCAGGTGGGTTTGCAAATTCACTGGCGGGCTCCGATAGACGAGGTCTCTTCGAAGGCGTAGACGGAGTTGCCCGACCTTCCCAGCGGACAGATCGCTTAGAAGGTGGAGTAGCAGTCGAGGCCGGTGTGGCAGTGGTCGAGGCAGGCCGTGGCAAGTATGCCAGATTGAGGACGCGGAGGGCAAGCTGGTTCGTGTCTGTGGTGCGGTCAGCCACCTTGGCGGTGATGCTAAGCAAATCTCCCGCTACAGGGATCTTGACCTTTTCCCAACGCTTCGTATTTTGCAAGAAGCAGGCGACCCAGAAGGGAACCGGGGCAGCCTTTGTGGTGTCGTAGACGGACGTTTCAAGGGTGAAGCGGCGGGGTTCCGAAGGGTCGGAGGGATTGTCGGAGCGAGGCGACACAGAGCCGATGACAGCCACCATCGGGCACCACTGTTCTGGCAAGTGGCGGCGATACTCGTCAAAGTCGGAAGGGACCCCCGGGTGCCTTGAGAGGTTAGACGAACTGAGGACTTGGACTCTAATTTCCAGGGCACCATCGGCAGACGGGGTGGCGGAGAAGCAGCCGTCGGCGTAGAAGAAGGTATTAGGGACGTAGAGGCTTCGATTTTCTCGGGTCAGGTAGGCATGTATACGGGCGCGGATAGGTTCGACGTCGATGGCGAAACTATAGAAGCCGTCCTCCTCGAAGATGTTGATTTCGGCTTGGATCTTCACGTAGTTGGGCGTGTTTTGCCGGCTCGGGTCGTCTGTGACGTTGTCTACAAAGTCTCGCAAGTGGATAGTATTCGAGAATATCGATTGCCGGGACATGTCGAATAGCGGTTCAAGGCTGGCGGAATGTGTGGAAAAGGAGCCGGAACTCAATCTTTGGCGTTGTGGCATCGGCCGAGGAAAATTATATCTTCTCATGGGTGCTGGATGCCGAAAGGGCATTATGAAGGAGTAGTGGTCGAACACGGCAGATATACGGTCTGACAGGTGAAAGGGCAACTGCCGAGCCAGCCGTGATTATTGACAGGTGTGCCCGAGACGGGGAGAAGCTGGGGAAAGGTATGGGACGGGGTGACACTGCGGTGGGGCGAGTGGAGCGGGCCCCGGAGGAGCCCGTGCGGGAACTCGGCAAGGGGCCGGCGTTCGATCCGGGGTTGAAGCTAATATTGACATAGGGGCAGAGGGTGGCGATGGGGGGCCAAGATGGTGCCTGGTATGAGGTGATGGTAGAAGGGTTAAGGTTCGGCACGGGCGCACTTGCACTGTGGGGTGAGGGGAACCGAGGGCAAGTATGCGGAGGTGGATCCGCCCAGAGTCAGAATAGAGGGAGAGTCCGCCGAACCTATTCCGTCGGCTGGATGCGCACAATCGCGAGAACGTGGCGGGCGCCGGTGTGAGTGTCTGGACATTCGCAGACATCTTCGAGGAGTGTCAAAAGGTGTACGAAGAGGCAAGGGCAGAGAGGCCGGCACGGAGGAGGATCGCATGGGGACTACCTGGACATGCTGGGGCCTTAGACGAGGCGCAGGAGGGGTATGGAGAAGCCAGCACTCAAGGGACTCGAGGTGGTTGCAGACCGAACGGGAGGGAAATCGGCCATCAAGATCGAGAGACTTGTTCGGTGCTTTTCAGACGGCACGGAGTAAGCCCCGCCCCGGGGCTAGGCTGGCCCCACGAGGGACTGTAGGGTCTCTGGCGGGCATCCCCAGCCAGCACGATGCATATAATCGGCCCAACATGGCGATGCTGGCGGGTCTGGGAATCCAGCCATCGGCGGGAGAGTTGGAGGTCGCGCGAAGGGGGTTAGTGGCGGACCTGGGCCTTCGGACGGCGGCTGACATTTTCGAGGCGACGCGGAGCGAGTACGAATAGGCGAGGCGAAACTGGAGCTCTCGCAGGCAGCAGACTCGGGAGCTAGCATTGGTCTCGCCCGGCCACGTCGCTGGCAAGGCCGAGGATGCAGCGGAGGACTGTGCCTCTCCTGGGGGGCCGAGCCGGCAGCCGGCACGGAAGAGAGCGGGTCATGGCAGCACTGATCAGCCAGCCCCAAAGCGCATGAGGATCGTGGTCCGCCGAGAGAGGGACGAGGAAGAATAGGTACTGGATCTCGCTAGCGTTTTAAGAACCCTCGACGAAGAGTTTGCTGAGAAGGAGCGACTGTCTCACAGACAGGAGTGGTGCGTGCCTGTGCCCCAAGAGAGGAAGATAAAGACAGTGCAGGACTTCTACAAGGCGTTTCATAACATAAGGATGTTGCCGATCCTTATTTATATATTCTGCTACTGTAAATACAGAAGGGTCGAGCTAGAAGATATCGAGTGGGACTGGTAGGTAGCAAGTCCGGTTAAAAAGCACAGTAGGTTTTCTTTTAAATGCCTCTGGTGCTTCCCGGTAGGGGAGAAGATTAGTGGGTGTGTAGACTGCGTGAGGCATCTGGGGAGAGGCGTCTTGTTGCCGGCGGTGTAGTTGCATACCCGGCTGGGATGCGAGCATATATTTCCTGACGAGCTGAAGAGTCTTACGCCAGTTAAGAAGAAGCTTATCGCACTGAACTCATGCTATAGCTTCATTACTAAGTATAACATCGCAGATAGATATCAGCAGAACTCCAGACATCTGAGGCACGTTAAGAGGCATATCACAGTATTCCCCAATAATATACAGAAGCTCGTGACAAAAGTGCTGCCACATCTGCTGCTGAAGGTAATAGACCAGATCTATATATTATAGCAGGGGCCGGAGAAGCCAGAGCCAAGCGATCTAGCCATACTCCTCTCGGTCCGTTGCGGTGATATGGAGAATGCGCTGATGTGGCTGAAGGGAAATAACCCTCTGTATGCCGATATTAATATTGACACAGCGGAACTGGATAGCTGGGAGACCCTTTATATAGCGTGCCGTCCCAGGTCTACAGTTAATTAGAACGGAACAAGCCTTCGGCAAGAGAAAAAACACAAACAGCGCACATCGTCCCGCCGACCGAACATAGGCTTGACGATCCGGGCCCGGTAGACATCCGGGAAATCATGGCATCCCTGGCCGAGGACCGGAGCAGCTCTGGGGATGCAGCCGGGAATGATGCAGCTTCTATGGAGGAAACTGGTGGTGGGCCTGATAATGACCGCAATAGCGTGCACAAGATCGGATCGTCCGGCATATTCGGCCTGGATTGCCGGCCAGATATCGCGGACATGGAAAAGTTGCAGTATCTTGTGGATTCCATAGGCGGAACCGTTACCGGAGAGGAGACGTGTGGAGCCGCCTGGAGAGGGTCGGCCGAGGTGCGGCACGGGTGCGCGGCTAAGCTGTATATCGTTGTCTCCCGGGGCCAGGACTTTGCGGATTCCTTTGACGCGTGGTTTTTGGCAAAAGCATTCCCGACTCTGTTTCCGCTGGGTAAGGGCGGTCCTCGGCAGGCCGAGGAATGTGTCGTGGGTGCGGAATGGGAGGCATTTCGTGTGAAGCGGAAAGGGCAAGGTGTTGCTTGGGGAGAGGTGGAACTCGACAGCTCCTGGCCGCTGTCGAGGTTGTGGGTTCAGGCGCTGCGGCAGCCAGGGCAGCATGCAACCATCTGCTTCGACAGGTATCTGAGTATGGATTTCACTAAGAAGGATGACTCTTACCACAGAAGGTATATAAAACCTGGCATACAGCGGCCCCGGTAGCTTATGCAGGCAAAACACAGAAGAATGAAATAGTGAGAAGAGTGCAGAGAGGAGAGCTGACAGCTAACGATGGGTGTTGCTGGCTTCAGAGCAGCAGTATAACATCTTGCCCTCTTTGTCCCATGGCAGGCATTCCTGCGTAAAACGTCCGGCGATATCAACGGCATCTGGGACAGACAAAAGATACATCTTCCCAAGCGCATCTTGTGGCTAGTGGATAACATCCAACTACTGCAGCGGTCGGCCGAGGACGTTGCGCAGGACGCCAAATAATAGGCGGCATTGTCCGGGGAGCTCGAACCCGCCGCCAATACAGTGGAATCTAGTAATACCGTAAGGAACGACGCACAGAGCGTAGCATATCGGTTGGATAGCATCGGGACTGCGACACGTCTTGTAGACGTATTGAGAACCGCGGTATCTGCGGAGGAGATTACGGCCGGTTCAAAGGAGATCTCCGCAATACTCGAGCAAATGTACTGGTTCTAAGCGGCCGCTCTCGGTTCAATAGAGGATCTCCACGGTGCGGTCCTCGCCGAGGACGTGACAAGGATCGTTAGCATCCTAGGAGGGACAGTCTCGGGAGTAGAAACCCCAGGGCTAGAGCAGCTAAGATCCATCAAGGCGCAGCAGACCGGTCTCTCCCGCGAGCGAGAGAAGGCGATTTAGGGAATGCAGAGCGGGTCAGGCGATGGAGTGGCAGTCTATGGAGCCACGGTGCAGAGCAGGTTTGACGGCCCCGGTCAACAGGACGACCCTTTTGTAGAAGTTGATTACGCATATCAATTCCCAGGCACGGAGCTGTCAACGAGAATCCGGTTCGGCCCGTCCATATCGTTCTGCAAAGTGGGGAGGCAGGTGGCCGAGTCCCTGACGCTCAACCGAAGACAGAGGATTTCCCTCTGGCTGATCTGCCGCCAACTTGACGAAGTATAGCACGACGAGAGAGGCACCCCACAGCTCTGCCTGTTCGTTAGAGGCGAAGGCGGCACCGGAAAGTCGGGCGTCATTGCAACCGTCGCCGAGTTATTCGCTTGTATGGAACAATCCCATCGCCTCCTGGTAACAGCAACCTCCGGCATAGCAGCGGCGAATATCAACGGAATCACCATCCATTCCGCTTGTAAGTTTTCCAAAGACACATCCCCCAGAGCCAGCCGGGCCGGAGACCCAGACGGCTTCATATCATCTGGCTCAGCAGGCCTCCGGATTGATAGGCAGACCAAGATGGACTACAGGAGAAGTATGTCCTGGTTATAGACGAGGTTAGCACGCTGGGTGTGCGGATACTCTACTCCGTCAACGAACAGCTCTGCAGGCTCTGAGAGTCCAGCCGAGACTTCGGCGGCATCCCGGTGGTTGTCTTTTGCGGGGACTTTTATCAGTTCCGTCCCGTGCAGAAGAGATCGATTCTCCTCCCCAGCTCGATTGTTCTGTAGAAGGGAGATTATGGCTTCGATCTGGAGCAGCAGCAACAATACGAAGTAACTTACGCCCTGTAGGGGAAGTTCACCATAGTGGTAATACTAAACAAGCAAGTCCGTGCCATACAAGATCTACGACTGCGCAGCCTGCTGATGCGTATTCGACAAGGAGTGCAGGACCAGTCGGACGTGGAGTACCTGAATAATACCTGCTACTAGGAAGGCAGGCGGATCCCATGGGAGACGGGAATTACAGTGGTTACGCCGCTTAATAGGAACCGCTGGAACCTGAACATAGAGGCGACGATTGCTTTCCAGAGGCAATGGCAGGCCCCGCTCTGTATCTTTATTTCTGAGCACAAGTGGAAAGATGGCGAGCCGACAGAGGAGGAAGCTTTGATAATATTAGGCCATGGCGATGATAATACAATCCCGATGCCTGCCGTCTTCATATTTGTTCCCGGCATACCCGTCATCGTGAACCACAACACCCACCAAGGTCTGAAGCTGGTTAACAGTGCCCCCTATACAGCGATGGATGTCGTCCCCGACAGGGGGCGCCCGGGTCATCGGATTAATAGCAATACCGTACTCTACTTCGGTCCGCCGGCGGGGATCGTGCTGGCGTCGGAGACGACGAGGGACTTCCGCTTCGTCGGCATGCCGCCTGGTACTATCCTCCTAACGCCCATCAGCACCAAAATAGAATGCCAGAGAAAGCGGCTATGGCAACAGCACGACGTCTCCCGCAGGGGGCTGCCATGCGCAGCCGCGTTTGCGTGTACCGATTACAAGTTGCAGGCAAGGACCCTAGATCAGGTCGCCTTGGAGCTGCGGGGGACGAGGACGACCAATATTGGCGGCCAGGCAGTTCCGAGTACATGCGACCCATACAGCCTGTATGTGCAGCTGTCGCGGTGCAGGTCGCTGGATGGCATCATGCTCCTGTCCAAGGCGCGGGAGCGTGACTTCGCGGGCAACATGGTGCCGGCGGAGATGGCCCAAGCTGAGCTGAAGCTGGAGCAGTTGAGCGAAGTGACGATTGGGGCGGAGTCATACTAAGTCATAATGCAAGCTGGTTTCCCAAAAAACAGGCTACCCTCAACAATCTATTCAACCACTAGACGGTGGAAGATCCTCTAAAAGTTGACTCCAGAAACGTGTAGCATTCATCCCTACCTCTTGTCAACGGCACTGCTTTTCGAGGTGTATCAGGACTTTCAAGATTCTGCTCAAATCCCATAGGCCGCTGTCCGCAAAACATCCACTCCAGTTTTGGCAAAGCTGCGGCATACTCCTCAGCCTGTGCGAGCATACGATTTCGATGAGCTCTTTCCCACACTTGATGGTGGAAATCGTTATCTTCAACATCCTCTTCCATCTCTTCTCCCTCAGGTCTACTATCAAGATCAGGGTTCTCATTTATGTCAAGTTCCGGCCGGTCCTCGGCATCAATGCTCTCTTGGTCTCCTTCGAATCGAAAGTTATAATACTCCTCAACATCGAAACCAGGACATGGGATGGAGTACGTATCACGGACTAGTGCCAGCTTTCTGAGCCTCTTGAGCTGGCCAAAGTGACTACGGACTTCGTTATGATCGACGAGCCATTGGTGTCGCCATCCCAGGCGGATGCCAGCGCAGAGGCAAAGTTGCTCGAGGGACACAAGTGCTCCAATTGTTGCGAGGGCCGCTTTAGGAACGTGAACGTCGTGTGGTTTTGTCGAGTCATCCGTGCTACCTCCACCCCATGCTAGAGACAAGGAGCATAGATTGCTGAAATCTTGGCTGGTGAGCGCTGGGATGATGTAGCGATCGAGGTGCGCCTTGCTGCCAGTTGCAGTGTCGCGTTCATAAATATAGAGTCTGCGGACATGTTTGTGTTGCACGACGAAATCTGCAACGTACTTGCAGAGATCGCTCTCTTCAGGCAAATAGGGAACGTTGAAACTCTCAAGATCCCGGAAAGTCCCATAAGAAGGGATATGGGCCCCAAGACGAGCCAAGATCGACTGAGATAACTCAAGAGACTTAAGAGGGGCAGAGAAGAATGACGAAACTGCTGAACTCTCAAGTTCGAGCCATTCAAGCTGCAAGTGCCGCAGGCGAGGAAATGATATAGGATTGTTGCCGAGCGAGACGGGACCCCTCGTGCTGGGCCGGAACTCCATGTAAGCCCACCTCAGTGACTCAAGGGTTGGAGAGCAAAGCTGGAAAAGCGTAGAGAAAAAGTTGGTCATCGGATGTGTGGACCCTGTACTATCTGATGTCTCTTCATCTTCGTCCGAGTAGCTGAAAGACAACGAGATATCAAGATCCAGGGACCGAATTGGCCAAGTCGTAGGGGTAAGCGGCGGTCCCATAGGCCAGGGTTCATCCATGGTCGTTCTGTTCAGCTTGACGTGCTGAGCTGTGGAACGAGTGACTGTTTCGAAAAAGTTCCTGTCAAGTGAAAACCTGTCCTCCCAAACCAGAGTTTCCAGGTTACGCATTGTTGAAATGGCCAGCATCGAGGTTTTTCGCAATTGCATGTAGTACTCGCCGCCTTCCTTTTCGAGCGCCTCCCGTTGCTCCCGAGTGACCGATTGTGCTGTTTCACCCCAGATAGATTCATAAATCTCCCGGTGATGTGATGCAACGTAGTGCGGGAGGGGCGCGAAGGTGGCTCTACGAACGCAGGCGGCAATAGTAGGTTGTTGGGGTTTTGTCAAAACTCCACGTGCAAGCTCTACCAAAAGCTGCCGTGCCTGGTGGCTGTAGTCAAAATGCACCTCGGCAAACTGGCAGCAACGTGCGAGCTGCCGGCAGTCGCTATTAACAAGTGCAAGTGATTCCAGAGTCGAATTGTCGTCGCTCAATAAGTCGACTATATTGGCTAGGATTTCAGCGGGCATTTGAAGCAGTCTGCTGTGAGAAGCCCGTTCCCGACCTTCCATGACGGTATCGAGCAGAAGAGGGCGTCGTTGGTCCCATTCCCTGCCAAACTGATCCGTCCTACCGGCGCTGAGCGTGCCTATCATCAGAGTTGAAATGTCTCGGGTCATATTCACGGTATAAACGCACGAATGACAAATAAATGGAATAATAGGCGGTTCTTCAAGACCTTGACCTTAGTATGAAAATGAGCAGAAAGCGGGGGTAATGGATTTGCGGTTGTTCATTACGTCAGTAGAAGGATAAAATATATTCCGGGATTTTTTTTTGCAGCCACAGATATAACAGCCCAAGCCATCCCGAGCCAACTTCAACAACGCCTTAAAAACCTTAACATTAATCGGTTTAATTAACTTTACTGAAAATATTGAATCGCGCTATCTGCCAAGTTTGACACTATATCTTCAAGCACAATACGGATTCAACTTATCAAAAGTACCACAGTTATTTGCAGTTAGTCTTCCAGGCGCTTCATATATCGAGGTTATTATCAAACTTAATTGTTGTAAGAATAAAGTACTACGACTGATCTGCAATATATCGGATAATGAATACCAACAGGTCAACTTATTCGCTGGTACCAGCTCTTCCAGCAGAGCTCACCAGACATTTCGTGCCGTGTTTTGAGCAGGCCTCCAAGATGAGGAGGAGATCTCTAGTATATGGTTGTCAGGAGCACAGCATCTTGCCTATGCCCAGCATGTAGGGACCAAGATCAGTTGAGCCAGCCTCGAGAATGATGGCCGCTGGCGGTGTCAGGCGGACAGTTGCCCAAAATTCGTCTACATCATAGCAATAGCCTAAGATGTAGACGGCGCGAAAATATGGAAAGGCTTAAACTCGGCCATTATGAATAGTGAAGTGGCCCTGCAGTCATGTGGAAAAATGAAGAGGGCGACGACTTACGGCGCTGAAAGGTGCCGATGGCCGTGGCCGTGGCATAATATGCTCTTGGTTGGTTTTACTGGAGATGTGAGAGCAGCGGGAAGGCTGCATCATCAACCTCGCCTCACAGGCTGGCACTGTTACTGTTCCCTTCGCCGGAGCGTACTCGACCGCCAAGTCTGCCCTTGTGCGGGCGACGTCCTGCCTGCAGGCTGAGCTCGAAAACAATAGGTTTGGCAATGGCGTCCATTTGTGCGCATTGTATCCATGGGCTGTCAAGATTGCCATGACGGGTACGTCCTTGGGAAATTGTAACACGGTGTTCTATTGCTGCTACTACTACTACTACTACTACTACTACTACTACTACTACTACTACTACTACTACTACTACTACTACTACTAACGTACATGATAAGCGAGTGGGACAAATAAGCGAGCGTGACAAAAATTCCTCAACCTACATTATTTCTATTTAATCAATTGATTCTCAACCACACACTATGTCAGACTCAAATATTAAAGCTAGAATCCTTCTTACCCTTCAGGTCCTTTAAAATAACCTAAAATTAAAGCTCCGATATGCTGTAAAGATCTATAAAGTTGGTTGTATGATGCTATAGCGCCGGTAGAGGGGTATTCATTCTACGTATAATACTATTCCAAAATCACGCTGACTATCTGATCTAGAGGAATAGATTATTATTTAATTTATTCTTAACTTAGATTTATAAGGATTTCCTCTGTAACTATATAGTATTAAAGAAATAGCTAACTGACTACTTGCCAACTATAATATATTATCTGTTAGTAAGTACTGGGCTTCTAATTTTATTAAATAATAACTAGATCTTAAGATATACTTTTTTTATAAATATAACTATTAGAGGGCTAAATATAAAAATCTAACTATTATTTATAATTAGTTTAGGCTTAATGTATATAATAAGTAAGTGTATTAATTAAGTAAGTATACTAAAGCAGTTTTACACCTTAAAACACGATTTTTAAAAAATTTCTTAAAAATTTAAACTAGACTTAAAATAGCTATAATTGAAAATTTAAGTCTATTAACTTAATTATAATAATAATAAATTTTCCTATATTTTTAAAAAATCTTTATATAAAGTTATTTAAAAAAAGTTTATTTATACTGTTTTTTTTTCTTATTTTTATTTCTAAAAAGCTAAATAATTTTTCAAAAATCTAAAAGAAAATACTGCCTTGTAACTTTTTTATTTAAATATCTAAATTTAATTCCCTAAAATTCCTAGAATTATATAACGTACTTAATAAGCAAGTATCTCAGACAAGTAAGTATCTCACCTATACTGTACAGCTAAAAGTATAAATTTTAGATTTTCCAAAATAGGCTATTTAAGTAGTGAATTTTTAAGAAATTAATTTTAGATATCTTAAGAAAAAGGTTATAAGATAGTATTTTCTTTAAAATTTTAACTAATTTATTTAGCCTTTAATATATAAATTTAATAAAAAATACAGTGTGAATAAGCTTTTTCTTAATAACTTTATAAAAGAATTTATTTAAAATCTATAAAAATCATCCTGTAAAGAACCTTATTTAATAAACCTTATTATAAGCTTTTAGCTATTTTAAGCTTAATTTGAATTTTTAAAGAATTTCTTAAAATTGCGATTTAAGGTGAAAATCTGAGTGAGACACTTACTTATCTGAGACACTCGCTTATCAAGTACGTTAGCTAATTTTAGAAAATTGAAAATTTTGACTTTTAGCTATACAGTATAAGTAGTGCACATACTTATTTAGTGCACATACTTATTATACATGTTATAGAGAATATAATTATAAAATATAGTATTAACCTAGCTGATATCTATAATTTTAATAAAACTGGCTTTATAATAGATATAATTACAAGTAGAATAGTTATTATAGATATAGAAAGGTGTAAAAACCTAAAATTAATATAGTCTGGAAACTGGGAATAGATTACAGTTATTTAGGCAATTAATATAGAAGGCTGGGTAATCTAGCTAGTTTTTATAGTTACAGGCTAATATTACCTTATTAATTAGTACTAAAAAAGTAACCTCTTGAGTAATTAGGCTATTATAATAACTTAAAATAGCTAGACTGATAATAAGATAGATTTTAAATAGCTTAAGTACTTTAATTAGTATATAAAGAATTAATTAACTAGTTACTATTATTATAGGCTGGAGCCTGGCTTGGGGTTCCGGCTGTGCCGGAACCCACTAATTGATATTACCTGGGTAACTATACAGTATATTAGCGGTAAGGAAGCAGCTTCCTCCTTTTCTTCTTCTTCTTCTCTTTAGCTTTAGATAGATAATTCTACAGCAACAGCCTGTTGAACAAACTCCTGTCCAGCCCTTTACAACTATTATCTTCTAATTCTTAATAAATATAAAAATTACCACTCTATTAACTTTAAGAAATATTATAAAGAAAATTAGATTATTATACTTTATATACTGTCTTATTTATCTTATCTACTTCAGCCTCTTAATATCAGATACTTTAGGCTACTTAAAACAGCCTATAGTTAAGTAATTAAGCAATTAATCAGATACTCTATATAAGAAGTTATACAGCAGTCAACTCTCTCCTGTAAAAATTCTTCCTGACTAGCGGCTGTTAGCACTAGCGTGGAAAATTTTGCAGGCCCACCAAATTTAGCTGCTGCAGCAGCTGGCGCCCATCGGGCACTAACACTGCAATAAAGGAAGGATTGAGAGGGTTGACTTCCTTTACGCAGCAGCCACGGCCACAGCCCAAGGGCTCCGGCTATGATCGAGGCCTGCTGCCCTGACCAGCTGGGCAGCTAAGATAGCAGCAGGGTCACAGCACGGCTTGCGGGGGCCAAACGACACCGCTGTGGCTCCTATACATGCTGTAATGCTGGTTCAGACCTCGCAGCAAGTATAGCTATTGCAGCCGCCCGGAGCAATCACGACACCAGCTTCAATCTAGGTGGGCGTCGACCTTTGCCCTGATCTCTACGACTCGGCACTTAGGTATATAAGGCCACTACGTCTTAGTACCTGCTTAGGCCTTCGGGCCTGAGCTGCCTTGGCCTTTGTGCTCGGCACCTGCTTAGGCCTCCGGGCCTAAGCTGCCCTGACCTCTGCGTCTCGGCACGTAGGTGCATAAGGCCACCGCGTCTTAGCACCTGCCTCGGCCTACGGGCCTAGGCTACTATGACCTCTGGGTCTTAGATGCCTTGATCTACGGACCTCGGCTGTTAATCCAGGTCTACAAGAAGTCACAGAATCGGGCTACTTATAGGCATCAGGGTTCTGGCTTGATGGCCCTGATCAATGGATGCTAGCTGCAGTGGTTTTTCCCTCTAAGAGCTCCCGCGAGGTTTTCCCATCTGCAGTCTTTCCTATCATACGGATCTCGATTTCTGGAGGTTTTGAATGCCGGCAGGCAGGAATAGGAATACTGAAGAATTTCAAGCTGGTTAATAAATATGGGTATGCCGACACCCGCCCTGACAATCCGCTGACGGATATCGGGCTCGAAATAACAGGTCAAATAGGGCCTCTTAATTGCTAGATGGAGGAGGAAGAAGGGTTGCAGTCTAAGTCTAGGTCTAGGCCTAGGTCTGTGACTGCAGGCCCGAGCTATAGGCCAGCAGTGTCTATAGCTCCGGCCCCGGGTTACTGTACTTTAGGTTTCTTCAGCTGTTGATACCAGCCTAGCACGTCGTCTTGCCCCTTTGGGGATTCTGTGGATAGCTTTAGGCAATCTTCACGACGGTAAAAAAAAAAAAAAAAAAAAAAGGAATCAACCTTACTTAAGATAAGCTGGATAAATATTATCAGCAGCTAGACAAGACGCCTATCTACTATACGGCTATAGCACTCTATCCAGCTTATTATTGGGACTGGTTTGATAAAATATAGGCTTATAAGTCTAGTTAGGTTGAAAAGGCAAAAGAGATAGTTGCTGATATCTGGCTGTCTGATTACGCTCATCTCGAGGTTAGAACCAGCAGTAGCAGAGGCGACGACGAGCCACCAGCAAAAAGACCTCGGTTTTTCAACCCCTTTAAGAAGAACAGTCGTCTGCTAAACTTAATACCAGCCTATACAGCAGCTATTATTGGTAACGAATACTAAGCGTGGCAGACAGATCGTAACGCCAGCGACGGCAACGTTCGTAATCCAATTAGTTACTGGATCACTAAGCAAAGCAGATATCCTCGGTTATCCAGGATGGCCTTGGACTTCCTAACGATCCAGCCGATGTCAGCCGAGTATGAGAGGTTACTTTCAGCTGCTGGCAAGATAGTCTCGGGGTTGCATACGACCCTAGATGCTGAGATTATCGCCATTTATCAGGTTTTACGCTCTTGGTACCGTGCTGGACTTATCAAGGACCTGGATCCATTACTTAAGTCACACCTTAAAAGTAAGCTGGATGCCGGTTGTGGGACTCTAAGCGACGACGAGCTGGCGCTTGCTGAGTCAAAATGGCTATTGGAGGGCGAGGACAGCGCCAGCGAGGTTGACGATTCAGCACAGCAGCAACAGGCTAAAGAGTTAATATCAACCTCTGAAAGTGAGGCTGAATAGGCACCGACGAGGTTGTGAATAGCCTCAAAATCCACATATAAATCCACGTGTGTACATCCATTCCACTCCGGTCGAATATATATTACATCCACTATGTAATTGCCTAAAAAATCGTACATCCACTCTACTTGGTCCAAAGTGGAGTGGATGTAGTGGTTCCGACCCTTGGCTCAAGGCGCAGAGCTGCGATGATTCTCGAGCGTCAACCGTCTGGTACACCTGCCAGGGCCACGACCCGCCATTCATGGGATGCTGTGACGTAAGTCCTTGCAGCCAGGGTTGCACAAGGGACAACCTGTTGCCCACCATCTTGTCGACTAAGAAGGCGAACCGCAATGCGTTTCTGGATCCCGAGTCCGTTTACTCCAGCACGGTGGCGACGAGTTCCGCGACCGCTTCCGCTTCCGCTTCCGCTTCGAGCTCGGCCGACAGCGACGATGGCGGAGGTTTGAGCCATGGCGCCATGGCGCCGTGGCGGGCATTGCGGCTGCGTCTGCTGCCGTCGGCGTCATCCTCATAGGGTTTTTGATCTGGAGATGTTGGTGGTATCCGCGACATCGGAAACAGAACGGTCAGCAGTTCCACCCCGTCGGATCACAGACGCACCACGCTGGAGGCCCTGGCGAGTTCGATCCAAACCGGTCGCCCATGGGAACGACGCCCATACATGAGATGGAGGATGTATATCCGACTCCCCAACAGCTGAGCACTGGCTATGATGAACAACCGATCCATCATCACCAGAGTCAAAGCCCTGCTACAGACCAGATATCACCGCACATCGAAACGAAAGCTCGAGGATACCGTGAAAGAACCGAACAAAAGCAGCCGATATGACACGAGAGCGACAACGAGAGCGACAACGATTGAAGGGGAGGTCGATTGTGCGACCGATCCAAGGAAGGGAAACAGTAGCAACAACAACGAGGGAAGGGCGATGCTCCAAAAGGCCTTGGATTTATTGGGCGAGTATCGCGCATTCGAGATCTGAAGGAAGCAGCGGAGGAGCAGCAACATACGACCCGAGAGTTGAGTCAACAATTGGAAGATACTAAGAAGCAGATGGGCGACGAGTTGAAACGAGTTCGCGAGCAACTTGAAGCTATCGCGGCGAGCATGGCAGCTACCCCGCACATGTCTTTTGCTGACGTCACGCGATCGCCACCCTCGTCCCAACTTAGTAACGTCAGAACTCTTTCATATGGTAACATAGCGCCCCGAATCCCACCCATGCATTTTATTGCACGGTCGACACCTCGCGGGTGGAAGAAGGAGAAGGGGAGCGGATCACAGCGGGTGCTATCCGGACTATCGTGGAGAGTGAGGTGTGTGCTGAGCAGGGCCAATCCGGCTGGCGTTGCCAGGCTGCAATTAAGGACGGAAGAACCTGAACCGGATCAAAATCGCGTGCAGAGATGAAGCTGAACACCAAATGGTGAAACGGCTGGTGGGAGCCAAGCTGGCACGAGGCGCCCGGGTGCTACGGGATGAGCTCTACCCCATTAAAGTGGACAACGTCAACTGCATAGCAGTGCTGGACGAGGCGGGTAATATCCATACGGGAGCTGCCGAGGCCTTTAGAAAGGAAAATAACACTCAGATTGCAAAGATAGTTTGGCTAAGCAAAAGAGACATTGCTCGAGGCTGGGCTCGACTCGGGGATCAACAAGCCTGCCTCAAATAATCTTGCTCCTCGCCCCGTTCGTTTCATCATGGACTCCCCGCTTCCGAGAGAGCTAGCACCCCTTTCCTCCGTCATGTCCACGGACGGTGCCGCGTTGCACAGCTATCGAGGCGAACCAGACCAAGGTAGTCGAGATCCTGCTAAAGAGGAGCAACTGCAACCCCAACATGCAGATCAACGGGGCCCTGGGCTACGCTATCACCATCACCTGCTTCCTGGGCCGCGACAGGATAGTAGATATGCTTCTGGCAGTGGGGCCGTCAGCGGATGTAAACGTCGTTGGCGAAGTAGGTTCGGCCCTAGCCATTGCCTGCGCCAGAAGAGCCACAGACATCTTCGTGCGCCGAAAGAATCGCGGTCCTCCTCGATCTGATTGAGCTGTGATTCTCGAGGCAAGTCTCGCGCTAGCTGTGGCATAGCAGGGGCTGGTCCATCGGGGGTAGGAGGGATTCGACTCGTACGCGAGACCATCGATTTGGGCCGTTCTTCTGAAAAAGCATGTTCGACCTCAGTTCTCAGACCCAGGCCGGCGGGATTCCATTCAAGTGAATCACATGGTTCTGACCCCGAGTCTTGAGACATGGAACAGAAGTAATTCGACCGGCCCTGGACGATCAGGGGACTCTCTACCGTCAACGGCGGTAGCCTGCTGAATCTATTGCCCTCTTTAGTACTCTCTTGCAACTGTTTCGCGAGGATGCGGCTCTGCAGGACAAATGCGTCCAGCGGGGAGAATTTAGGGGGTACCTCCCCGGCAACATGCAGGCGGGGCGACCGCAAGGGCCGTGGCGAAGTCGAGTCGGTCGAGTTCTGTGAATTGGGCCGCAGGTCCAACACATTTGGGGGCATCACCATAGTTCCTTGTTTTTTGTAGCGCTAAGCGTCGTAGTCGCTTGATCCCATTCAGACAGTGACAATAGATGAGGTTTCCAGAAAACCAGGTTCTCACAAGGTCTCGATTGAGCTCGAATTTGACATTGGCTCGAAGGTATCTCGGTCGGGTGTATTGTCGCCCACCTTATTGGCTGTTGCCAGGAGCTCAGGGAGTCGATAAGCGAATAGGGCAACAATTTCCTACAAGTATTGCGATGGTAAGACATGCCGCGCATAATACAATAAGATCAGGTCGGACCCATCTAAACACAAGCGGTTAGATAGACCTACCACCAATGTGAGAATGGTTCAAAATGGTCAGTTAAGAGTGATGTTGCCGTGATGGTCGTGCAAAAGTTCGCACGCGCTGGCAAACAAGGCGCAGATTGGGAGCAAGGTGCCTAGAAAGATCGGCCACAGTAGCGGGCATGGATTGTTGGGGGCATTTGTTGTGCCCCCAACGTTGAGCCCCTCGTAATGTTACAAGGACTTGTGGCGGCGTCAACTCCCCGAATGCGACTATTCGTAGGCCAAAGAAAGGAAGTCATTGAGAGCATACAGGAGGTCATTACTGCGGAGCGTCCGGGCATACCACTTATCATCAAGGATTCATGGCAATACCCAGAACGCGATGAAGAAGGCGAATTACTATGCAAGGCGACTGCTAAAGGTGTAGTCAACGTTACTCGATATTATCACCATGAGACGGTCCAGATCCATAGATATTAGACGCCATACTATTGTCAATCACGTTGCTAACTGGCACGTTTCGAGGATAGCGTTATATGAAGCATCGCACGCAGCATAGTGCGATGAGAGTTGACGAGCGTCGAATGCGAACGCGCACAAGACGCATCGCGCCGTCAGCACACCAACCCAGCTATAATCCTGCTGACGTAGACAAATCAGCTACTAAAATCTCAATTTGTCTGAACGCGAACAGCAATGCAAATCGCGAGGGCACTCCGCAGCAATGGATTCCATTGTCGTGGCATGAAGCCAGCAGGCGCGGATCGCAGGAGTATGATGCGTGAGAATGCTGGTGGTACGTTCAATTACCCTCATCCTCCCATTGAACTTTAGGCTTAGTGCAGGATTCGCGATGTTTAATGGGTACTTGGCAGACGCCGGTTGCATTTTTTGCATTTTTCGCAGAAGCAAAAGGCCGCAGGCCGCGGCCGAGGGGCTGCTGGGATATTATGGAGACTAAACTTGAGGCGGTGGAAAACCACAAAGCAGTAAAAGCTCCTTGGTAATGAATAAAGCCCGCACTGTGACACACTCCGAAGCTTGGACCTCTAACTGTCTTCTAGAAAAAGTATAGGTCAGGCTGGAGGGGTGGAAGGCCTCAATGTTTTCAGCGAATCAGGCTTGCGATGTCTCAAAGAACGAAACCCGCTGTTCGACGCTTGGGCCGATTTCTGCGATGTGCCTTTGCTTTGATATCACACTTGACGAACGCCGACGCTTGGAAGAAGCAGTGAGCGCGAAGAGGCGGCAATGGCTGACAGCGCGCTCCATTCCCTCCTTGGCTTGACGACCCAGCTGGACGGTGATCCTGCAAAGGCGACCCTCGAAGCCGATATATGTTGTACATTCAACAGGATCCCGCGTCCGTGGCTTGTGGTTTTGCTGCCTTTGCGTGGGTGCAAGTTTCAGCCACAATATCCAGTTGTAGGTGCCACTGTTGCCCCATCTATCGAGAGCAGGAAGCCTGGGAAACAGATGCATATATAGAAGTCGTAGCTAGCGCCAGCACTTTTATATCCAATATCCGGAGCATGCACGCGCGCATCCCCGGGCTGCGCCTCTTGTGCGCGACGCCAAACTGCAAAACAAGCGCTGGCAATATATTCTCTGTAGTTTTGAAGGTACGAAAGTGATTATCTCTACTGTATATGTGCTGTAGTCTATGAGTTGTGAGTTGCGTTTGTAAATCCATTCTCGCCGGCCGGTGGGGCCCGGAAGGGGGTCCGCGTCGGCGGTCCCTCGCTCCCCCACGATGGCTTGAGCCCACCCCGACATCTTTTGCCACCTTTTGCACCAAAAGCTCAGGCACACCGAGCTCAAGTATCCGTCCGGTCCATAAGCGCCCTTTGCCATCCTTGCGCCTCGTCGGCAGCGAACCATGGGACAAACCACAGACTCCGAAACCCATGACGGGACTAATCATCTAGCGTGGACGCGCTAGTCAGTGCTAGTCAGGGCCACGCGACCCGTGGGAGCGGGTTGGGCTGGGAGGCGAGGACGCCAAGAAATGGAAGACGGCGAGGAGAAGGATGCGACACAACCCTGGACCCCTGACTTGCAGTCGTGGCTGGCTGTCCAGCGTTGGGGATCCCCCTGTAGACGTCATTGCAACGAGGGAGTTTGATGAAGCTGGGAATTGACCGTGCTCAGGATTTGGGCCATGCGATCGACGTTTTGACGCTGGGAACTGCCGTTGGACGACGCTGCGAACCCAGGAGGTGCGCGGAGGTACGTGTCGAGGTGAGATTGTGGGACGTAGCGCGAGGGATCGAGAAAACGTCCTAGGCTGTACTCCTGCTCCTCTGGGATAGGAGTTCCATTAACAGTTGTGGAGTTGGTGTTGCTTGCAGCCCTGGACCTGGAAACCAAACCCAGCCGTTAGCTGATCGTGATATAGGCACTAGCATCCGGGGGGACAAGTGTGTAGGGCTATGAACCATGCCCATCAATAAAATAGGGGTCCGTACTGTGTATCATCGAGGTAGTGAACCGCCGCGGTGGATGAGTTGTTCGTAGCCATTCTCGTATCGAGGTGACCTAGCACTGTCACTGGGCGCTTAGCGTGTGAGCCACAGTAGCACGGGCCGTTCGGCGGATTGCCGCGGATTGGAGCCGGCCCCGCCGTGCACGGATGGGCTTCAAGGTTAGGGCTGCGATCGGCATGCCTGTTTCCAGATCTTGGGATCACTCACTTGGAGACTGAAACCGATTAAGGTGAGGATAGCAATAATAGGAGTCGAGAAGATGAGATGGCACGAATGTGCTCGATATGCGTATAGGCTTTCTTGAAAGGCTTGGGGATCTTGGAAATACTCCAGTTCGAGACGATAACGGATAAAAGTCAGAGCGGCCAGAAGAGCAGTTACGGGAAGGACAATAGCAAGCAACGCTAGTAGATAAGATAAAGGCCCAAGAAGGATGAGAGATGATGAAGGAAGAGGTGATTCTGATATGAATATCTGGGCCTGACTTTGGGGGTGTTACGACTAGTTATAGACTGCTTATGTTGTTAGACGAGTCTATGATGTTTTTCTCAGCCCTTTCAATCAGTCGTCACCGTCAAAGCGCCTGCGTAGACACTGAGCGGCTACCAATTCACAGCCTGATCTCACAACACACCAGAATGATATTCTGTCTCCAGGATCATGGCACTATCAAAAGACCATGCGCACAGGACGAAATCGCCTTGGCGCAAACCTTGTGTTTATTTGTCTTTGGTCTATCTGCCTCTGGTGGTAGCACACAGACACATACTAGTAGGCTACTGGTAGCACACAGTAGACCCTAGTGCTTTAAAGAAAACCTCACCTCTGCACAAGAAAGAACTGACTCTGGCTGTATTCACTAGCAGCTTGAGGCGCGGCGCTACATATCGGCAACACAGAATAGAGAGCGAGCATCTTTACATAAATCGTATACGAACGTCTAGTTAGATATATTAGTGAAATAAATCTTATATAGTGCAGTTATAAACTTTACCTAACAAATTTTGCGCCTCCAGCCCCGACTCATAGCGAGGTTTGTCTCCAGGTCTCGTCTCCAATGGGCAATTTCTGGGTGCAGCGATCAGCGACGCTAGCCGCCCGGCTGGGTCCCATGCAGGCGCAGGGCCCATGCCACTGATACGCATTCACGAATGACCTCTGCAGGCAACTGTTAGGCATCCCAACCCTCTGGTACTGGGCTGCATTTTATCAGGGGTTCAACAAGGGTCAGGGCATGTCACCACAAACCTCACACCCCCCCTTCACCGTGATTCACTCCAGGTGTCGAAATATGAGGGATGGGCCCATGTAGGAACGCTGCATAGAGCGAATCCGGCTCAGTCGCGTGAGCGAATCGAAATGCCTGCCGACCTGGGACGCGGTCCCGTCTAAAACACAGCAGCAAAAACACAGTAGCACCAGCGGCACATAGACGTCTGCTCAACCACGAGGCTTCTGGATCCGTCGGGACGGCTGGGTGTTGCGAAGGCAGATGCAGCCTGCACTGCATATCTCATGGTCCCTTTTTCAGTCTCTCCAAGACGACATTACCGCCTGTATGGGGATGCATGTTGAGGACGCGAGCCTCAAGTTCGCCTGATAAGCTCGCCTCGGGACAGTGCACCACTACCAACCACCCACCACTGGCGCACGCAGTTAATTACCTAACTGACTCGTTTATCCGCTCCTGTCTGAGAGGCAGCAGACCGGCGGCCAGGGTCTGGCGGGCGGGCTACGCTTTTCCCGTCTATGATTTGACTGGCACTGTTATGGAGATGCCGATGATCCAGGGGTAAGGACTCAGGGTGGAAAGGTCCAATCAGGCAGGAATAAATGGGGGGCTCTCTTTCCCCATGGAATGGACTCTTACCCCCTTCCCTCCTGACGGCAGATTCCGCTGGACCCTCTGTGGATGCTAGTATGAAGCCGTGGTCCCTGAGATCTGGGCCCTGCAGCCGCATCTTGGCATCAAGCTCCGTGGCACTAAATCCTGGCCATCCATCTACCCCCGTGCCTATTGCTACCCACCAGACGGGTTTCGCAGGGCAAAGTCCGACAATTGCTCAAGAACTGGCAACCCCGTCCAACAAACTCTGTGCCAAGAGGGTCACCTCCGCTGAACTCGAGTATTCGAGCCACCAAAGCGGGTCAGGTGGGTGTGCCGCGAGACGCGATTCGAGACGAAGTGCGAAGGCGACCACTTGGACGTGACTCTACCTTCTCCATGCGCCCGCGTACACACGCCGGAGATAGCACATTCAAGGGATCAACTAGGACACACTCAGTACGCCCTACCGACCGGGTGGACCGTCCGTGCGAGATTAGTGACCCAGCCAGCGGTCGGCAAGTGCCGCCGCTGATCACTTGCCGACCGCTAAATGTCGAGTGTCTAGCTAAAGTACCTTACTCTAGCAACTTCTGATCGACTTTTTTCTCAAATTGCCAGTTCTCTACGTGCAGCTCCCGAGAATCCTCAACGTGTCTTGCGCCCTATGCCAAAGAGCTGCTGATGGCATTCTCTTTTCTCCCATGCATCTCCTTCCGAGGCCGATTCCTATCCTCCTTCATCCGAATGGGTAGGTCGACTTGGTCGGCTATAAAGGCTGTTCCTATGCTTGTAGAATACTTGGGGGGACAACGACCAGGAAGACAGATTGAGGAGAAACTTTGAGCGTGCAGGTGAAGTAACCAGCCCCTCCATCGGTCTCAGGGTGGAAGGACACAAGGCCTCCTTTGATGAGAAGGTACTGCTGCACATTTTTTGCGCCCTATCGATGAATGGCAAATTCCGTTTCTGCCCCCCTGCTCCATCGATCCATGTCGCGCGGTACGTAACAGACGTCGATTTGCGAAGTGCGCCGTTGGCGATCAAGACCTTCGCCCTGTAGAAGAATTTGGGCGCTAAGATGCCGGAACAACTTAGTGTGCCTTCTGTGAGTGGTTCTACCCCTCAACTAATAGAGGCACTGCAACACCATAACCTTAATCCCTCGTCCGCCTTGGCCCGTCCCGTCGCTAGCTTGCCGATGATCCGAGCCGCGCCGCCTTAAACGGGTCAACATGGGCGCACGGGAGAAACTGGACCGAAGAGTATATTGGCTTCTAAATTGTGGGTCAGTAAATAATATCAATACCCCTCTCCACACAGCTTAGGGCTCCTGCGACGTCATGATTCAGTTGGTAATGACCGGGCCGGGTTCTGGTTATGTCATAGAGCAATGCCTCACTACCAGGGATTATGTCCCGTTGAGGCCGCCATGAAGGAGGGTAGCCTTTCCATTTGACGCACCATTCCGGTCTTGCCTTCCAATATCGGTTCTTGGTTATCCGTGAGTTCTGGAACTTTTCCACCATCTATTCTCGGCTTCCTGTGTTGTCCTGTTCTATTCTAACCTGTGGCTGGACATATCGGTTCGCCTTGGCCGGGGAGTCGGTGCGCGGCTGCTTAGCAGCGTACGGCCACGAAATCCTTTCATTGCGCCAGCACCGCTGGAATCTCACCATTTGGTCTCCCGCCGTCCAAGATACTGGATGACGCCATTGCTAATGATGACGTCGCCGAGAATGAGTCGCCGAGAATGATCGATTGTATGCGGAATGTCCGGTTAGACATGTTAGTGAAACAACTCTTATGCGGTCCAGTTGTAAACTTTGCTTAACAAATTTCGAACAAGGGCGAGGTTTGGTCCAGGCCTCGCCTCCGATGGGCAATTTCTGGATGCAGCGATCAGCGGCGCCGGCAGCCTGGTTGAACCCAGGGCCATGCAAGGGCAGGGCCATGCTACTGGTGCCCATTCACTGAATGATCTCTGCAGGGTACTGTTAGGCATCCCAACCCACTGGTACTGGGTTGTAAATTTATTAAGGGGCTCAACAAGGGTCAGGACAGGTCACCATACACCTCACCTTCCCCTTCACCGGGATTCAGTCCAGGTATCGAGGGACGCTGCATAGAGCGAATCACAGCTCAGTCGCGTGCGGGAATCGAAATGCTGTTATCCTAGAACCCGTCGCAAACACGGCAGCACCAGCGGCACGGAGTCGACATAGACGTCTGCTCAACCACGAGGCTTCTGGATCCATCGAGACGGCTAGGTGTTTCGAAGGTGGACCCAATCTGCCCTGCATGTTTTATATTCGCTTCTTCGTTCTCTCAAGGACGACCGTCTGGACGGGGATGCATGTTGACGTGAGTCTCAAGTCCACCCGAATAATTAGCCTAGGGGCAGTTCATCACCACCGCCCACTCACCAACCAACCGCCGCTGGCACACACCGCGAATGTCCTAACTGGCTCGCTTGTATGCTCCTATCTGGGAGAGGCTAGGGAGCCACTGATGCTCTAAATCTTTTTTTTTTTTTTTTTTGGTTGGCGTGTGCCCTCTGGTTATTAAACGTACGCCCCCACGGCGGATTTTTGGGCCAGAGCAATGATGAGAGCCACAAACGCGGACGGCGCGGTGCGCTGCCCTGCGGCTGCTGCCTCTGTGCCGATCCCCGCTGCAGCGGGGAGCCCGTCGTGTGTCTCTGTGGACGGACACACATGTTGGGTGGAGAGGGGCAGGAACGCTAGGCTTGGGTTTGGTCTTCGGGGCCCCCAGGTACACATATGCGGCGCCAGGAACCCCCAGGACCACTGGACCGAGCGCGAACTCACTCGGCTTTACCCGAGAAGGCGGGAGGCAGTCCTCCACCCAAATTCCTGGATTCCCATGTTTCACCAGCTTTACACGTCCCAGCACCGACGGCGTAAGCCTGGGACATGATTTAAATTACGGAGCTGTCACGGTCCTTGGACTCCTCTTTGGCGCAGCCCGGCCTTAGGAGGCACCTTGTCACCTGGGTATTTATTTTCTAGCTTGCTCTCTTGGCCCAAATCCCTGTTCCCGTGCCAGCATTCCCAGATATGCTTGGCCAAGCCTTCACCTGAGAGGATAGGCCACGCTTTCCCTGAAAGGTGAAAAGCCATAGGTTGGACTGCAGGTCTATGCCCCTCTCTATTAACCATTGCTGCATATGCCTCCCCCTCGTGCTCACAGAGTCTTGATTGAGACGCCTGTTTTTACCCTCGCCGTTGGGGTAGATATTCTGTTTAAAATGACCCATTACATGAGGGTATAACGATTCGTTACGGGGATCGCACTCACCGCTGGAGCTTATGGCATAATAGGTCCTGCTAATTTCTTCCTGGAATTGTAGCATGCTCGACCGAAGGGATGTCAGGCCGGCTAGTGACAAGGCGAACGACGGCGGGCCGCAAGGCGGACGCAGCTATGGTAGAAGAGCGAGTCATGTATTGACTTGCTTGGTACCACGAACTCTTTGTTTCACCTGCACGCTCAAAGTTTCCCATTCCGGGTCGTTGTTCCCCCAGGTATTCTACGGGCATAGGAACGGCCTGCACAGACGACCAAGAGGACCTACTCATCGATGAACGGCAAATTCCGTTCTGTTCCCCTGCTTCAGCCATCCCTGTCGCGTGGCACGTACCTAATTTCGCGCTCCCACTTCCACGTCAGGGAATGGCAGTCGTGCACCAGAAACCCGACAGACGCAGATATCATGTCTATCGAATGCAACTCAGGCAAACCCTAAGACGTACTATGTGGCTGCGACCCGCCGTAGAAGATATATATATAGCTATATCCGCCATCAGCGGCTGAGGATGTGCCGCCACCACCGCATATCCAAAGTCTCCGTCCCCAGTGTCTTGCCAGGGTGCGAATGACGGTATACGCATTTCACCGGCACTAATACCTGCAGTTACTACCGCAGCCTTCATAACGGTTACCCTTGATGCTCTACTGACACCAGGCCAGCGCAAGTACGATCTCTTAATGCGATGGCTCTTGAAGCTCTCGGCGTCGTTGCGAGCCTCCTTGCAGTCGTCCAGTCGTCGGCCAAGGTCGCTTCGCTGTGCTTCTACTACTGCAGAGACGTCAGGAACGCAAAAGATGACATCGACCGACTTCAACAAGAAGCCACTAACCTGAAGAAGGCTTCGGAGAGTGTTCAGCTGCTACTCAAGGGCCCAAATGGCGCGAAGCTCGAGGCTTCTCAGGAGCTGATGGTTGCGGCCGAGGACAGCCTATCGCAGCTTAGAGAGCTGGAACGAGTGCTTAGCCCTGGAACAGCGCGCAAGGCAATGAGCCGACTAGGACTTCGGGCCTTGAAATGGCCATTTCAGAACAAGGACGCCGAAAAGATCGCCCAAGGTCTCGGGCGATGCACGCACGCTATCTCCTTGGGCCTACAAGTTGACATTACGTACGTCGCCAATCCATCTCCACTTCAACTAATGGGAACCGACAAGGCATGATCTAGGGCCGTTCTACTCGAGATCGGCCAGAACCTACTCCACATCGATGTAAAGCTCCTCGACATCGACCAAAAAGCAGTACTCGATAGACTTCCCGTTGTCGTAGAAGCCAGCTTCGACTCCCGCGCCGAAGAGCACAACCCAATCTGCCTCCGCGACACCAGAGTCGACCTTCTTCGCCAAATATCTGAATGGGCCGATGATCCTCGCGCCGAGGCCATCTTCTGGCTCAACGGTATGGCTGGAACCGGAAAGTCCACCATCTCCCGTACCGTAGCCCGGTCTTTCGCCACAACCGGTCGCCTCGGCGCCAGCTTCTTCTTCAGGAGAGGTGAGGCCGACCGAGGCAGCTTGTCCAAATTTGTCACCACCATCGCAGCCCAGTTAGTCTCCAGAGTGCCCGCCTTCGCACCGCACGCTAGAAATGCCATCGATGCCGATACCACCATCTTCGGAAAGGCTGCGCAAGAGCAGTTCAAGAAACTCATCCTAGAACCTCTGTCAAGGATACCTCAAGACGCTCGGAAGACTGCCACGCTTGTCGTCGTTGTCGATGCCCTTGACGAGTGCGAACGGGACGACGATGTCAAACTCATCATCAACCTGTTTTCTCGCGTCAAGACGTTGCAGGCTCCGCGACTAAGAATCCTTGTCACCAGCAGACCCGATCTGCCGATTCGCCTGGGTTTCAGCGCCATTACGGGCAAGTACCAGGACTTCGTTCTCCATGAGATGCCCGAGAACAAGGTTGGGCATGACATATCTGCATTTCTTCGGCATGAGCTTGCAGTAATCAGAAGCAATTATAATAGTTCCGTTCCCAAAGACCGACAACTACCCACAAGCTGGCCCGGCCAATCGAATATCCAGATTCTAGTACAGATGGCGGTTCCTCTCTTCATCTTCGCCGCCACTGTATGCCGCTTCCTCGCCGATCGCAGATGCGGTAACCCTGATAAGCAACTCCAAGAGGTTCTGAAATACCGAACGAGAAGCCAGGAATCGCAACTTGATGCAACATATCTGCCTGTCTTAAACCAGCTGGTCGTCGGTTTGCCTATCAGGCAGAGAGAGAAGGCTCTAGAAGAATTTCGAGTCATTGTTGGCTCGATCGTCATTCTTGCCAGCCCCCTCTCTCCCTGTGCCCTAGCGCAGATGCTCAGTGTATCTAAAGATACTATCGATGATAGGCTAGACTTGCTTCATTCAGTCCTGAGTATTCCGCTGTCGTCCAGCTCCCCCGTCAGGCTACTACATCTCTCCTTCCGCGACTTCCTGGTGGATGCTGAGAAACGAGGAAAGAACCCGTTCTGGGTAGACGAGAAATATTCCCACGGGAAGATGGCTGCAAACTGTTTGCGTGTCATGAACGAGCATCTTCGAACAGATATTTGTGATGTGAACGCCCCAGGAACGAGCCGCTCAACTATCAATCCCCAGAAAGTAGACGCATGCCTACCACCAGAAGTTCAGTATGCTTGTCTACACTGGGTATACCACATACGACACGCAAGGGATCATGTTAGCGATGGCGGACCCGTCTGCAACTTTTTAACTCGCCATTTTCTCCATTGGATGGAAGCGTTAAGTCTCATGGGAAGGGTATCGGAAAGTCTTGGTATCATCAAAACTTTACACTCACTCCTCAGCGTAAGCATTGGATTATCCACCCCCGACATTCACTGCTAACGTGACTCAGCCCGAAGCGAGTGTGAAGTTATCTAGCTTTCTTAGCGACGCTATACGCTTCGTTCTCGCCAACGTTTCAATAGTTGACAAAACACCTCTCCAGATATATTCCTCGGCACTTGCCTTTGCGCCAGAGAAGAGTATTATCCGATATACGTTCGAGAGCGATATTCCTAGCTGGATATCTCTTGCTCCGGAGGCCGAAACAGACTGGAACTCATGTTTACAGACCCTTGAGGGCCATAGCGGCCCCGTCAGGTCGGTGGCATTTTCGCAGGACTCGGCGCTTGTGGCATCAGCCTCGGACGATCGGACGTTGCGGATCTGGCGCGTCGACGCCGGTGACTGCGTCCAGGAACTCAAGGGCCATAGCGGCCCCATCAGGTCGGTAGCCTTCTCCCACGACTCGGCGCTCGTGGCGTCAGCATCGGACGATCGCACGGTACGGATCTGGCGCGTCGACGCTGGTGACTGCGTCCAGGAACTCAAGGGCCATAGCCGCTCGGTCAGGTCGGTAGCCTTCTCCCACGACTCGGCGCTCGTAGCGTCGGCGTCGGACGATCGGACGGTGCGGATCTGGCATGCCGACACGGGTGAATGCATCAAGGGCCAGAGCGACTGGGTCAGGACGGTAGCCTTCTCTCACGACTCGGCGCTCATGGCGTTAGCACCAGACGATCGGACAGTACGGATCTGGCGCGTCGACTCGGGCGACTGCGTCCAGGAACTCAAGGGTCATAGCGACTGGGTTAAGTCGGTAGCCTTCTCACACGACTCGGCGCTTGTGGCATCGGCATCGGACGATTCGACGGTACGGATCTGGTGCGTCGACTCGGGCGACTGCATCCAGGAACTCAAGGGCCATAGGCGCTGGGTTAGGTCGATAGCTTTCTCCCACGACTCAACGCTCGTGGCATTGGTCTCAGACGATCGCACAGTACGGATCTGGCACACCGATACGGGCGACCGTATCCAGGAACTCAAGGGCCATAGGCGCTTGGTCAGGTCGATAGCCTTCTCACACGACTCGACGCTCGTAGCATCAGCATCGGACGATCGGACGGTGCGGATCTGGCGAGTCGACACCGGTGACTGCGTTCAGGAACTCAAGGGCCATAGCCGCTCGGTCAGGTCAATAGCCTTCTCACACGACTCAGCGCTCGTGGCATCGGCGTCGGACGATCAGACGGTACGGATCTGGCGCGTCGACGCTGGTGACTGCGTCCAGGAACTCAAGGGCCATAGCCGCTCGGTCAGGTCGATAACCTCCTCATACGACTCGGCGCTTGTGGCATCGGCCTCAGACGATCGGACGGTGCGGATCTGGCGCGCCGACTCGGGTGGCTGCGTCCAGGAACTCAAGGGCCATAGCGGCCCCGTCAGGTCGGTAGCCTTCTCCTATGACTCAGCGCTCGTAGCGTCGGCCTCGTGGGACAAGACGGTACGGATCTGGCACGCCGATACGGGTGACTGCTTCCAGGAATTCAAGGGCCATAGCGGCCCCGTTAGGTCGGTAGCCTTCTCCCACGACTCGGCGCTCGTGGCATCGGCCTCGCGGGACAAGACGGTACGGATCTGGCACGCCGATACGGGCGACTTCGTCCAGGAACTCAAGGGTCATAGCGACTGGGTTAAGTCGGTAGCCTTCTCACACGACTCAGCGCTTGTGGCATCGGCGTCGGATGATTCGACGGTACGGATCTGGTGCGTCGACTCGGGCGACTGCATCCAGGAACTCAAGGGCCATAGGCGCTGGGTTAAGTCGGTAGCCTTCTCACACGACTCGGCGCTCGTGGTATCGGCGTCGGGCGACCGGACGGTGCGGATCTGGCGCGCCGACTCGGGTGGCTGCGTCCAGGAACTCAAGGGCCATAGCGGCCCCGTCAGGTCGGTAGCCTTCTCCCACGACTCGGCGCTCGTAGCGTCAGCATCGGACGATCGCACGGTACGGATATGGCGCACTGACGCCGGTGACTGCGTCCAGACAGTTCACATTGGGTTTGTATCTCACCTATCGTTTGAGCCAGGTAACACACGCCTCCTTACCGATCTTGGCCACATTACCGTGCCTAAGCCACTAGTCGCAGAGGCATCTGTGGCATCTACTACTCTAGTTATGCCTAGCCACATTCGCGACCGCCGTTTCGGCTTCGGCATTACCGGAGACGGGTGCTGGATTTCCTGGCATGGAAATAACTTGCTCTGGTTGCCGGTGGATTTCCGACCAACCTGCTCGACAGTGTTAGGATCCACCATCGTCATCGGCTGTAGATCGGGAAGGGTTATTATCGTGAGGTTTTCAATCCAGGAGCTGCCAGATCTCCAGTCTAATTAAATTTTTGCTTGTATGCTGGGCGCCATTTATCGCCGACCCGAGTGAGGGGCCACCACGCCACACGACGCTGTAGCACTCTAAGCGATAGAAAGCGGTCTCCGCAGAACGGGACAGACAATATGCCAATTTCTATAGCCTGACCTTCTGCCCGTCTTGCCTCCACTCACTCATCAAGTCAACGGCGAAAATTCCATCCAGTCTTGTCACATTCAGGCCATAAGCAACACCCACCTACCGGCAAACAAAAATAAAATTTCCCCATACAAAATGCATTTTTTCAACCTCATGGGAAAAAATCTCTAAAAATAATAAAAATAAGTTATTTGCGGAATTCAGCTTAGAATTGGACAAATTTAATATTGTCTCGGTCTTTTAACCTCACGGCCTGTGCGGGTGCGCTCAGTAGCTTCTCTAGCCTTTGAGGAGATGCCATTCTTCAACAAGGACGTCCGCCGACTGGTGACGGTTTACGATACTAACAGTTTCGTTGAAAAAGTGTTTACCTTGGAAATGCTAACAAAACTTCAATAACGACGAGAAATAGGGACGAGTCTAGGGAAGAAAGATCAGACGGCATATTATAAACTCAATCAAGCTTTCGTCAGCTGGTTTCACTTTGGCTGTAGTCAGGCCTGGTCCTTGGCACCCGAAGCTTGCATTCAAGTTGGAGCGAATGCCAAGCTTGGCCTCGTGGATGCACGTTCTTCTCTTATGATGCCGATGTGGGCTGGACCATGTCGAGCAAAGTCTGGGTGTATTGGGCCTTTGCCATTTCCGTGACTCTTGCTACGTCGGGGTTATAATACTGCTGGCAGCAGGTCGTAGCACGGTGGGACGCGATAAGGTCCTGCAAGGATAAGGCTATCTGACCCCCTTCGCCGATCTTGGCCTTGCAGCAGGCAAACAAGCGACAAGGCGACCAGACGATCGCCATTGGGCTCATATATTTAGACTGCTACATCTCAGGTGTGCAAGAGATAGACTTCCTTATAGAAAGAGATTGTTAAAATTTCACGTCTGCGGCAGAATTGCAGGTAACAAGCTAAAGGTTCGTCACTGGTATAACAAAACCACTAAGTCAACTACCCTATTAACAGACCAACCCCCTCGGGTAGGGTTGGGGCTGGAACTCTCGTTCGTGGATATGGATAGATCTGGCCCAAGGAAGCACTTATAGGCCTAGTTGCAATACGTAACTAGTTCAGTTAATAGTAATGCCGCAGAATAAATAATGAACCTGCTCGAACTATATCTTATCACCGCTCAAGACGTTTTCCCGCAGATCCTGAATTTCCCACGTGGTAAGATAATTGCTTAAATTTAGAGTCGCCTTGAAAAGCCCTTCGTATGGCTTGCAGTCAGCGCCCTTCCTCTTGCAGCTCTTTTTTGCAGTCGGCTTTACTTGCGCATCAGTATTTGAAGTTATAGGGCCTGGGGTTGGTACCTCAGACAGTCGTGAGATCCCTCCCTCAACTTTTTTAACAAGGCTGTTATTATAGGCCTCGCTATATCTGGCGTCAATCGCCGACTGTGTCTCTTTCTTCTCCCCATTTTTTAGGCTGAGCGGGTATGCTGCTTTATAGTCGCTCTGCTTTTTCTTAATAATCGTCGCCTTAGTTTGGTGTAGCTTGCCGGTGTCTAGTTGGCCGTACACCCTCATGAGCACGTCATAATTAAGGCATTCTTTATACATCTGTTGGATGATGACCCTGTATGACGAAACCTCGGATAGGCCGATATCCTGACCTTAGTCAGAAGGGGGGGGTATAATAACCCCTCTTCCGGCCGATCCGGATGACCGGCAGAAGTAATCAACATCATCATCACTGTATTGATCCCTATCTATCAAATTGAATTGACCGTAACGGATCCATCACCTTCCTATTTTTTCTCTGGGCTGGGGGGGGTTACCTATTTTTTTAGCGCAGGTATGCGCTGTAATTTAGCCTTTTATAGTGGGTTGGCCAATCCACTCTTAAGACTTCTAGGCTAGGGACCAATTAGCTTTGTAGCCTTAAGTCCGGTTAGCGAGTCGGATCCTCGGGTTCAATCCCTTGTATAGGCTGACTTTTCCACTAGTGGACGAAGCTAGTGGTCACAACACAATTACAGGGATTGTGCCCTGGGCTGGATTCGAACCAACAACCTCTTCAAGAAGGGTCCCTAGCTCTTAACCACTGAGCCCCAGGATACCACAACACCATGAGTTCTCCGTCTTCATTCGATTGGTCGGCATCATCAGAATGCTCAAAAGCAGGAGATTCTGCAGTATCAAGATGGATCAACTCTGCCACTGGGAAGCCAGATTTCTCGCGGTATACAACTGATAACCTTGAGACTCGAACCCTCGCAGCAGTAGAGCTTCTCGAAGCTGGGTATTATCGCTATGTCACTACAGCTGCAAAAGAACTCCAAGTACCGAGGGGGAGACTCCGAGGTCGTCTCAAGGGAGCGAAGGCAGTCACTGAAAATGGCGGTAACCGCACTCTTCTCGACGACAAGCAAGAAGGTGCAATTCTCTGCTGGGCGCATCGCCGCATAACACAAGGACACCACATACAACTTCGGGCTCTTCAACATAACGCAGATGCTATTTTGAGAGCCTCGGGGCATACACATAAGACTTCAAGGTCTTGGGCAAAGAGATTCATGAGACGCTGGAAGGATACATTCCATGTCAAGAAGACAACAACTAAGGATCTGAAGCGGAAAGCAATGGCAGACCGCACCCACATTGAAGCTTTTTTCCGCGATTTCCAGGCGTTCATCAAAGATAACAACATCAAACGCGAGAATATCTGGAATTTCGATGAGACCGGCTTCATGGTTGGATATCTTCAGAAGGGCACATTTGTGTGGACTTTCTTCGAAATTGAGCAGCCAATCCTAACTGACTCACATGATACTGTCTCTGTGACTGCAGTTGAAGCGATATCTGCAGCTGGAGCCTCTATTCCTTCATTTCTTATCATTCCTGGTATCACTATTCCCGTCAAATTCGTTATGAATAGACTGCACAAAGATACCACGATAACCACCAACACCAAGGGCTACATCAATGATATCCTTGCCCTTGAGTGGGCGCAACACTTCAAGAGGCTGACCCGGCCCTCTAATCCTGAAGAGAAACGCGTTCTTCTCATAGATGGCTGTGAAAGCCACTTTACACATAAAATCTTCTATTTCTATAGTCAACACAACATCAAGCTCTTCCCTATACCTCCACATCTTACGCATTATCTTCAGCCTCTAGATGTAGGCGTTTTTAACGCCTACAAGCAGTAGCACCAGCATATTCTATATCGGGAAATTGCTGACGGTGCTGGTGACTTTAATAAGACTGACTTCCTATTCCACCTTCAAGAGATCCGTGAGCATACCTTCAAGAAGACCACGATACTATCTGCCTGGGAGAAATACGGGCTTTTCCCTCACAACCCTGCCAAAGTCCTTAATCAACTGGTTGATCCGCTATCCTCATTAGCTGCCGAGCAGTCCCGTAACTTGCTTCCGGGCTATGTCTCAGTAGGGCCGTCTTCACCGTTGCTATTGGAACATACCTCCGGTCACAGCCCCGGTCACAGCCCCGGTCACAACTCCGGTCCTAGGACTCCAAGGACCCCTAGGCGTGTGCCGCTACGGGCATATGACTGGGCCAACGCCCCTACACCGCCTCTCCGGATGCGGCGGATACAGAGATATCAGGATTATGTATGCCTACGGCTACACACATCTATTACTTCTGGCATGCCCTTGACTCCCTCAGTTATACGGGTCTTTGACCACGCAACTAATGCTAGCAACATCCTCAGTTACAATGGCATCGCAGCAACTGAGGAGATACTGTTGAATTGGAGGCATGGAACACCAGGGCTCCAGGGTGTCACGTGAGGAATAAGGGACCTATTCGGGCAGGGCTCGCCGAGCCCCCGGCCGGCTAGTCCGTACTAGGAAGCAAGGGAAAACTAGTCCCCCCTGACCGTAAGGGGCGGGACAGACACATAACAGCTACACACACAATACACATACGCGTTCGAGGTCATTAAGTGGTCATTGAAGCTATCCAACAGATACACCGTCTCAAAGAGTCCTCTGTCAGATGGTCAACTGTGCAAGCAAGGACGGAAATTATAGCAAAGTACGGGCCAATTCGTGTCGAAGATATCAGGCTACGTGTCGCCAAAGATGACCACAATAGACTGGCTGCACAGGCTGATGAAAAGAAGCGGATTTTCAGGAGAGACACCAAAGATGAGAGTCACTATTTACGTCGCTGGCTACGAGATGTCAGGGCTATAGTCAGAAGCAGCATCTTGGGCTTCAAGCAGAGTCACTACAAGAGAGGCCAGTGGGCTAAGATTGACCGGCAGATTCACCTCTCTTCAGACAAGTAGATGTCCCAAAAGTATACTCTTCACCGCCAGCTTCAACATAAGGGAAAGCCGCAAAACTCATAGCAAGGAACAGTAAATTAGCCACTCAACTATATCCCAGAAGTAGTTCAGGAAGCTGTTAACTTCTTCATTCTTAGTAAGCAGGCGCGGGCTGCCAGAAAGAGGCAAATATTGGCTAAGGCAAGCGAGATTGAAGTCATATACGAGAACACTATTATAGTCAGCACAGGCGAATTCCTAGTCCCAAAAGACGAGTCAGACAGCTAGAAAGTAAAGCAGTTAGTGATGGGGTCAATTACACACATAACATACATACATTTCCGGTTTGCTGTTGTAACTCCACCAGATACAAGTAACACAGGATTACCACTTTAACCGAGGTATATTGCTGTTACCCAATTTAACGTGGGGCAAGAGGTACCATTTTTGGTCGAGTCAACGACTTTTGGCTTGGTCAACGACCCCCCCGTGAGGGACGAACGGGGGGTGGAGCTGTGCTGGGACCGAGACCCCCCTAGTAGGGTAAAGATGGGTGATGAAACGAGGGAAAAGCAGAAGCGGACGAATTCTGATCAATTTGGTGGCGCGAAAGAAGCCACGTTGCTGTTTGCAAAGTTCCGGATTTTTTTTTTTCGGTGAGACAAGAAAATCATGATGATCTCATACTGAGGTGCTCCCTTGCTGTGGCTTGTCACATAGCCATTTGTCATTGGTGAGCCTTGAATGAGGAAGGGAGCGAGCTGAAACATATTCCTCAATAAAGGAAATTCCAAGTCAGAAGTATTCGCCTGATTATTCATTAATTGGCATGAATAGAAGCTCTCGGTGAGAGAAACCCAGAAACATTTTTTTTTCAACATACATTCTTTTGATCCTGCCAAAACATCGGCATGTATTTAGGATAATCTTAAGTTATATGCGGGGATGTTGGGCTTACAGTCGCCGGCCTACCCTATACCATATCGTTAAGAGGGTACCGCCAGTCTCACCTAATTTGCAGTGGAGGTGCCAGTACCTCCTAACTTCGCAAGTTGGATTTTGCAGCCAAGATAACTTATACTTTAACATCTCCTACACAACATATGTTCTTCATGGATATCGGTTAGATGCCTTATTCAGAGCCATAAATTGGATTGCCGTCGAAATTTTATCCAGCATCTGTGGATTATCGCTGAGATAATAGGCGGTTGCAAGGTACCTAATCTGCTATGGATTTCTCTGGGCGTCTCGTTGTACTCGCGAACGCGTCTTAACGACGACGCGCTACTGTGGCTAGTGAGGCACGTCAGGCTTGGTTGCGTAAGATCGCGTCAATGGCTTCTCAGCGAAAACTAGTCCCCGGCAGGTTTCAGCCAATCGCGGCGCTCGTTCTATCGAATCGATCGATATTCGATCGAACCATGGGCTTCGTTCGATTCGATGGCCAATCGAATGGGCTGATATTCGATTCGATGCGAATCGAACGGGCTGGTGGTAGGTTCGTATCGAATCGAATGAGCTTGTGGAAGATTCGTATCGAATCGAATATCTTGGCGTTCGATTCGACATTCGTAAGACTTGGCGTCGAATGAATCTATCGATTCGACTACCCATTCGATAGATGTCCATCCCTGTCAGGGCTTACCACAAGCTTCCAGGCGCAGGTGCCACACGAACTGCAGCTCCCGAATATACGACACACACCCATTAACAAGTTTAATTGCTCTCATGCCCTACTCTCCTTGGTGTTTCCCTGCCTTTTTCCTGACAGTAAAGCCGACTTTGTTGAGCCTCGATTACGCTCAATTGATTACAAGGATTACATCGAGCATGCGATGCACTGGCATGACGGGCGTTTTGCACGCTACCCGACCTTCCACTTCGTCGCCTTCAACATGCTAATGCGGTCATAAGTACGTTCACGGTCCAGATTCTTCGTGAAGCAATATGATAGGAGGCATCAGCCGCTCACGTGAGAGCAACTTATTCAGGCGCTCGAATACAGCGAGGACCCCGAGGCGCAGGCGCTGATCAACTCGATCACAAGGCATACAGTGTCTATTCGCGGTATACGTCCATTCTAGAACAAAAAGAGGCAGGACCTCGAGGCTTACGCCTATAACCTTGGATATCCTGGTGTATTTATCACGTTTAGCCCGGCAGATCTACACTGGCAGAGTCTCTACTAGCACATGCCCTAGTATAACGACTGGCTTGCCGCCACCAAGCCAGAGAGGATGGCTCTATTGCGCCGTTTATTGCGGCAGAACCCTCATATTGCTAATTTCCACTTCTACCACTGATACTGCCTCTTTCAGGATATCGTGTATATCATGCTAAGCAAGAAGTTCAGCATTACGGATTACTGGGATCAGTATGAATAGCAAGGGCGTAGTAGTCTATATAACTATAACCTATACTGGATAGATAATTGCCCCAGAACCGATATAGAGGAAGAAGCCACTTATAATATATTTGCATATATATAGAGATTCTATATCACTGCTATTAACCCCAAGCCAAGTAGGACTCTACCTCAGAGTGAGGGTAATCCACTAAGTAAAGATCCCCTAAGTATAGAGATAATATTCCTGCAGCTCTTACGAATTGTTAACTATTACCAGCGCCACAAGTACAACACCACATACTGCTTGTATATAAGGAAGAGCACTGGTAACATCGTGAGGAATATAGAGGGCGCTGCAGCAGATATCGAGGTAGCTAATGCAGCAAATCCAGAGAGGGAGTGTCGCTTTAACTTCCCTTATACCTTGCGGGGCTGGCTGCAGTTATCAGAAAGAAAGGAAGGTTATACTATATCTCCAAGGCAGCCCGGAACGACAGCCTTATAAACCACTTTAATCCTGTAATTATCCTAAGCTGGCTAGCCAATATTGATATATCTTCTTACACCAGCTTATAAGCAGTTATTATATATACTGTAAAGTATTGCAGTAAATCTGAGAAAAAGACTAAGTCTTACTATAAACTTGCAGATTAAGTCTTACTATATACAGCACACCTTCAGCCCTTATTATCCTTCTCCTCTTACCTTATAAACAAGCTAATTGCTAAAAGGGATTACTTAGCACAGGAGATTTCCCATCTACTACTTAATATCCCTCTGCAGGAAGGCACTTGGATAGTTGTCTCCGTTAACTGCTATCTATTAGAATAATATATACATTCGTACCAGGTAGATGGAGATGTTAACGAGTCTATTGGCAGCTATAGAAAATATCTGAAGAGAAATGAGCAGTATAACTATATAACCTACCTGAGGTATCTGCAATTATATAATCTCAAGATATAGAGAAGACTTGCTACTAATACAAAGAAAAGAATCCTAGCTTACTTCCCTCAGTATAAGTCTATAGACACTTCTCCCCAGTTTAATAACTTCTGCTATATTAAATTAATAATAGATTAGTTATCTATATTACTCTCTACAAGAGTTACTTGCTATAAGCAGGCAGCAGTTTAATTCCTTTATAGCTGTATATAAGGGATACAGAGAGTACCATAATACCTATACAGACGATTATTATAGAGAGCCAGATGCAAATAAATTAAGGGCAGAGGATAATAAATTGAAGCCTAAGGTCTATAAGGAGCCCATTACAGAGTAGCGCGTCTATCATTATCAATCATTATAACAAGGACAATAAAATAAAATAATTGCTAATTAAGTAAGACTATAATAACAATAATTATTAAGGGGCAATAAATAAAATGATAATAATTAAAACACCTTAATAAATAGAATTTCCCTGTAGACCGTACTATATGTCCTATAACACTGCAAAATATCGTATTTGGTCCAGCTCTTCCGCCGCCAGATCCTTCAACAATCCGTTATAATCCTCCAGCAAGCCCGCTCTCAATCAGGATTTCACTGTTTGCGTAATTGCGATCGTTTCTGCCTGCAACCGGCAGCGTTTCGCTCACACTATATTCCCACAGGAAGAAAACACTCTCTCGCACTCGGCAGCTATTAGAGGCACAGAGAGTATGTCTATAGCTATCTGCGTTAAATACGGGTATTTAAACCTCTTGTTGAACCAGTATGAAAACGGATTTCAGTCCTTTTTAACAGGGTCGGCAAGGCGTAACTATCTATCGAGCTTATTATCTATTTTATCCTCGCACGGTGCTAGCTGTGCTATACCTGTAGACTTAAAGCTATCTAAATAGGAAGAGAAGGAGTTAACTTCTATTTTTTTTGCTTTCTTAATTGGTCTTGGGTTGTCAGGGTCTGCTTGTTCGGATTGAATAGGAAAGTACTTGTATTCCTGCTATAGGCCGCTGATAAGCTGTTGAGATTTCTCAATCCAATCTGGCCTCTGTCGATAGGTATAATAAAGGAAATCCCATCGGATTGCTGGGTGAAGAACTGTAGCAGTATAGTAAGCAGGAGACTGGTTAATAGTGCTGTAATATTTATTCAGCTTGACCTACGTGAGGTTGATGTTCGTCCTAAAATAAGCAGGTTCTGGTATTTAATCTGTATAGAGCTTTGCTTCCTCTAAATGGCCTATCAGCTACTTATATACAGGGCAAATATCTTATAGTAAACTATACGCAGCTTCTTTTTTATCAGTTTGGATCCGCTGTTTTCTATTATCTTCAAGCTTCTTAACACAGGTCTTGAAATAGCGGAGAAGATCCTGATAGAGTCCAATAGTCTGCCAATCTTCTTCTATAAGCAAAGCATCATCTTCGAGGCACCGCGGTAAAAGTCTCTGCCTGGCTCCCTTTCTCCTCGGCTTTGATATTTCGTAATATATATCCGAAATAACGGCTTTAATATAAGAGTGTAGCTTGATTGTACAGCTTATTATATAGAATTAGAAGAGCTATCGGGTATTATTATTAACAATAATATCGAGTAAACCAGGCCAGCACTTCTCTCTGTTCTGTCTTTAAGCTTCCCGAAGTATCTCGGTGACTCTGTTAGAGCGGTTTATCCAGACTATTAGGTTATAAAGTTTTCCGACTGAGCCGCGCTTTAACTATATATTATGCGTTTCAGTATCGATCTTATCCTCAATTGCGCTGCTTGTATTATCTTTCCTAAGAAGCATCGCCTTAGCTACCAAATAGATAATATAACTAAAGCAGTAAATTCTCTGTGCTATTGGGCAGGCCCACTGGAAGCCATATGCTAGGCATTCTATTGCTGTGTTATTATTCGAGGTATTATTAAGGGTAGAGTAACCAATCTTATCCCGGCAGAGCTTAAAAGCCTCGAGAATATTCTAGATACTTTTAGTAATATTCGTATCTATATGGCGATCTGTGAGATTGGGTAGTCTAAGTATAATCTTTTGTAGCTGGAAATTCCAATTAAGGAAAAATATAACAATACCAAATAGCAGATATCAGTTACAGGAAGTCTATCTATTAAATACAATATAGATAGCGCTGGGACTTTAGTGCAGGGTCTTGATGATATGGAGACGGAAGAAGTGGTATTCCTCTATAACCCAGTATCGGATTATATTATAAGAAAGGTAAGTGTTAATTGTGCTGATTATTGGGTTGAGATAGTTAAGTATATTACAAAAAGTCTTATTCTCAGCTACTCTGAATGATTAATTAGTCTGCATAATCTACCTTATAAGCTTCCGTTGAAATATATCTTTATCGAACTGCTTTTTTAAGCTATTGCAGAACTGGAAGTCTGCAATTGTTGTCTCGCCTGTTTTATAAGAAAGTATCTGCCGGATGCTTCTCTTCCTCCCCTGTTGTGGTTGGGTCTTTCTGCTGTATATATTATGCTGATTGCCAAGATGGGTTTTAATATTAGCAGTTGCTAATATAAGATAAGCAGTAATCTTTGGGTCTTTTTTCCGGACACACTCGAAGCAAACCCATCGGTGCCTGTCTTATTCTTAACTTCCTGGAGGTTGTAGCCATACCGCCAAATCCATGACTTAGGCCGCTTACGTCTCTTAGATATCGTGAGGTTAGGGAAATAATATTAAGGGAAGATGTCCCAGTCACCGGACGGTCGGGGATAAATTAAGCTGCCTGAGAGGCTTGATAATGCTGGTAAAGAGGCGTTTAAGAGTGTCCTGGGCTCAGAGAAAGTATATTCAATTTGGCCGGGAGACGATGCGGCCACTTCGACAGACGCCAGGAAGATGGATTATTCTGACATCTTGCCAGTATAGTATTGTAGATATTAAATATAAAAAGGGGCCGGGAAATCAATATTTTCCTAAACCGTACTATATTTACTTTTACGAGAACGGCTGGGGTCCGTTATTTTATTATTGTCATTTTATTGCAGTGCTTTTAATATAATGATTATTATATAGGGTAGGGTATTAATAAAATAATTGATAATAATAGCTATTAATTATTAACTTTTATTTTAATTATTATTAATGAAAGATACGCCACTCTATTCTTAAGACGGTATTGCCACGATTCCCTTATCTATACACCGGAATTCCTGCGAGGCCGCTTTACAGTAATCTAAAAGCCTTGAATACTATTCGCATAGAGAAGATATATGATAGTACTATATCCCCTCTTAGCGAGTTCCTAAGTCTTCTCGCCTACAGCTATATACTCCACCGAGTTGAAGGGCCTATATATTATTTCTACTGGAGTAAGGATAGTAAAGTGTTTTTATAGGATGGGAACTTATATTTATCTATAAATAGTTTTATAGTCTTTCTTAAGAGGCATTAAGACAAGCTACTCTTTAATACTAGCGGCTTATATACAAGTAGGAACTAGCTAATCCTGATCTCGGTGCTATTTAAGATAGGCTATTAATAATAACAACTGGCTATTTTTTTATAGCTAATCTGACTAATAGGCTAGCAGATATATATCTAGAACTCTTTATAAGGGTATATATATCTCCAGTTAATAGGTTGCTAAAGGCTTAGAGTTAATATACCAGTACTTGAGATTCCAAAGCAGCATAAATATACCTTCATATATATAATATACTTCTAAAAGTACTCATAATTCTATATCAATTGAATAGTAGGCAAGGAGCCCAAATTTTAGAGTTGCTAACAATCAAATACTGCAATACACCTTCACGTCAGCGAGGTATTGGGATATACAGGATGAAAATGTTTTTATTCATTCACCACCATAAAGCTCGCCTTATAATAAACAAAAAGTTTCAAGTTGCACGGTTTTTCTTACCGCCAGTTGCATTACTTATGTATCGATACCTCGTTTATATACGGCCTGTCGCCTACACTATTTAGAACCTCTTCCCTCAGTCAAAGCCAAAGTCCGATTCCAATCTTGGAGCCATCATCGGTGGTGCGGTTGGAGGTTTTGTGGCGCTTTTGATCCTGGTATTACTGATCTTCTGGTATATTCGAAGGTCCAAGAAGAGATCAAAGAACAATACTCCGGGAACGAGGATCCGGCAAAGGCTAACGAGGTGAGCGGAGTCTCTGCCCGTTATGAAATGACAGGATCTCCTGTCAGTCATGAAATGAGCGGAGATCCTGTCTATTATGAAATGAGCGGCGACACTTCCCGTCGTTAAGGTTAGTAAAGTAAGCTACAGGACTACTTGTTAGTTAAGAAAACTAGGCAGTTATCTGTGCTAAAAACTAAATAAAGCAATCTTGCCGGCTTTGAACCGCCCTCTCCCATTCGTGGGCTACTTAGCAAGGAATATAGAAAATATAGAAACTACTAATCTCCTCGTTCATATCAAATGGCAAACAACATGAAACCAGCCATCGAGCAACCGTCAAGTCTTACATATACCACGCCCCATGCAGGAGCTCGTGCCGAGATCCTGTCTGGCACAGGCTTTGGAGTTCTAATCGCCCTCGCAAATCTCTACGAGAACTCAATTCGAGCCGTTGAGCAGTATAGGAATGTGTTGAACAGAAGGCATATCCTGGGGTATCACGTGCGGGTCAAGGGCCTTAAGATTGCTTGTGGATACAGTAAATCCTTCAGGGGCAGAGACACTTTCCCAGAGACACATAACACGAATACACTGATGTTGCGTCAATGGACCGAACACACGTACTGTCGACAAATGAGCGCAACTATGACATGACTCCGAGTACCAAGGATCGGACCAGCTACACTGCATATACACGTGGACCACATATAAGTGGCCCATCTCTATTATATCCACTTTGCTGGCGTTCTTCCATCTTGATCTGCTGATCTAGATTCTTCTGATCTAATAGATCCTGTGCATCTTGTATGCTAAGGGATCCGCCAAGCTGTACACGTGTTCTTTTTGCCCTCCGGCGCTTACTTATTGCCTCATTTGCTGTACGAAGTAATGAGACCTCTGCACGTAAAAGAGCTACCTCATGCATAGTGGATGTTGCCTCCTTTGTAAATTGATCCATAGCAGCCAGCATTGAGGTTGGAGAGCTATTTTGATGAGCAGAGATACGAGACTTTATATGCTCTGAATGTGAGCTAGCTTCGCATGCATTCTATGGTGTCTTTATGACCCAAGGTTGCCTGATCTCAGGGAGGTCTGCTGGAGGTGTTGGTGTGCGTAGGTGAACATCAAGCTTTGAGAGAACCCTCTGTGGGCCATATGGCACAAGACCAGCTCCTGTAAAGCCCCCTTTAATATTTTTCTCAGTCATAGAGATAAAGAAGGCTGTACGAAAGGAGCAGAGGAATTCAAGCTTGCTAATATGCGTAATATGCATACGTATTAGATTCTCAATCTGACGACCATACGCCTGCTTAAGTGGGCCAAAACAGCCAACATCTAATGGCTGAAGAAGGTGGGATGAATGCGGAGGCATACATAGTGTGATAATCTTATGCTGCTTGCAATAGAGCTCAAATCCTGTTGAATGATAGCTCTCATGACCATCAAGAATCAAGAGGCGATATGTGCCCTTTGTACGAGCTGCTTTATGATTGTTAAAGTGTTCAATCCATTGTAGACCAATCTCGTTAGTAGTCTAGCCATTGTCTGTTGTTGCAATACGCCAATCAGCTGGAAGATCGCATTCTTGATACCAATTGGCAAGATGGTATTGTGCAGTAAGAATGATAATGGAGGCATAGCCCAACCGTACGCATTGACGCCTTGAATTAGTTGACTATTCCCGGTTACCAGGTTGAGCTAATTTAGCTCTCATACGGCCGTCAGATGTTATGACCACTATGCCTGCGAAGATCATGCCTATTATAAAGCCAGTCTCGTCGAAGTTATAGCTGTCGTCATCAAGGATCCCGTATTTGGCCTTTATATTCTGCACAAGAGCAAACCATTCGCTGATGAGTTTTGGATCTTTGCATTTAGCCCTCTGATAGTCGTATTTGCAAGACTAACGTGTACAGAGCTCTGGCTGGCGTTTGACAAATCTATATGCCCAGAGTTTGCCGACAGGTGGCGCGTCGCGTACGCGTAGTAGATGGTTGGCCATTTCTTCAACACCACGCAATCTAAGAGGAAATGATCGCGTTGCTAGTTCAAGTACATATTGAATAATAGCCTGCTCTTCTGATTCCGTAAGATTCGTTGAATTGGGTCTGGTATCGCGTCTAGCAGTACGACCGTCGCGTCGATCACGGATTGTCGTAGCAGGTACATCGTAGATCTTAGCTGCAGCTCGAACATTAAGATTCTTATCGTTTTTGATAGGTTCAAGGGCTAAAATAACCCTAGATTCATTTGAAGACTAAGGCATTTTGTATTGTGGAGGAATTTGTTTTAGAAGGAATGTGTACGCGTTGTGATGGAACGTGCGCGACTCGGTGATAACATACGTTAAGCTATTATACTTTAATATTATACTTTAAGTAAGTAATTAATATTTTAATAAAGAAATTAGTAATAGTTGATTTAATAAGGTATCTCTAATACTACCTCATCCTTCCCAGGGTTTTATAACACAGTGCTCTAAGAGCAAGCTAAAGTAAGCCGAGAGAGTCGTCAGCCTCTGCATTTGCCTTCAGCAGTCTTCTCACATAGAGGAAGCCACCTATATAGTAAGCCAGCTCCAGCATCGTAGTACAAGTCCCGCTGAGCCAGACTCTTGCGTTGACATCAGCTCCTCTGCTGATCAGATACCGGACATCTTCATCGGTCGCGTAGGGTGGTCGAAGAGTGTACCTCAGCGGTGTGTGTCCCTCCCGGTCTGGAACATCCACGGCCGTACCTTCGTCTATTGGACCTTTTCGATAAGCTTGGGGTACACGGCAAAGGCTTTTTTGAAGAAGCTCCAAGAAAAGCCAGAGACTGCCCTAAACGCGCTACTAAGTGTCTTCATCTGGAGAGCAATGGCGACGATGGCTTTGAGACACGCCCATCGAGCGGGATCCCACTCATTGGTGTCCGCGGGGTATTGGTCCTGGAGGGAGGATAGCAGGGAGTCTCGTTCGAACAGCGGGACTATGGGATTGACCTCGTCACAGAAGAATTCCACGAGGAGGGGAACTTCGGGTTTGGCAAACTTTGGGATGACCAGTCTTGCCCAGCATGTGGTTGATTAATCCGATATCGTTCGCTGTAAGTCTGCTACCCTTTCCTCGGTAAGCTGCCAGACAGAGATCTCGTTAGGGATTGGCCTTGCGGTTCGGTTAGGGCTGATGGCTGACGGGGTTGATGAGTTGTATTGGGAGAAAGGAACGTGATTCGACTCAAGCTGATGTTCCTCGCTGACGGTGTCTTCGTCGCAAGGTACGTGATATTTGCGGGACGCTCGGTGCCAGGCCTACCAGAGGATGCGCTAATTCAAGCAGAATCGCGCTCGGCTATAGAGCAGCCTGAAGTGTGGTGTAAGTAGACCCAGATTAGTCTCACCTGAAGGTGTTCTCACTCGACCCCAGTTCTCGTTCCGTATCCACGAAATGACACCTTTGTTGGCCGTGAAGCTATGCTCGAGAAGCTGCAGCAACAACCCATCAAGTCTAGGCCATGTCTGCATAAGACGACCTCCCCTCCCCCTGCAAAACAGATACCAGACATGAATGGCATCCGTTCCTTCTTACCCGGCACGGAAACCCTTCCGCCGGGTGCGCTGACCCGGCCTCGACAAGCCACGCCCTGTGCCCCCCAACCTGGCTCAGATCCCACCCCCCTCGCGGGACATTGCCACTCTCCCCATCGACCTCGGCATAGCAGTCCTCAAAGTCAAACTAGCGCACCATACACGCCAACGTCGCCTTGATCTCCCTCATCACCGGGTCCTGGCCGATGTACAGCCGCGTCCCGTGCTCGAAGGGCCGCCACCCCGCTCTAGGGGGAGCCACCCCGCTCTAGGGGGAAACAGCTCGTGGAGGAACTCGTCCCGGCGCGCCCAGTAGCGCGGGTTGCGGCGGATGGCCCAGTGGACGTTCTGCACGCCGAAGCCGGCGGTGGGGTACTCGTTGCCCGCGGCGTCGCGGAGGATGAGCTGGGTTGAATGCCTGCCCACGGTTTACTTGAAGTGCTTACATTCTCTACAGGTGGGCATTCTATATCAGACTTCCCTTCGGCGCGGTGATCCTGCCAGCTGCCGTTTTTATCCTTCCGCCGTCAGACTCCAAGGCGGGGCCCCTTTACGTGCTCGTCTCGCACACATCGACTTCATTGGGGGCGTCTTGATGCTTGGAGCCACAAGTACCCTCGCCATGGCCATTATCATTGGTGGCTTGGTGAACTCGGCTGCCGAGATTGCCCTGTTCAGCGCTTCGGGCGCTCTGTACCTTGCTCTCGGTTGTTAACAAGCATTCAGCCTTAGTGCCGCTGCGCGCGCACCAGCGTTTGCGTGTACCGACTACAAGGTGCAAGCAAGGGCCCTAGATCGGATGGCCAACATCCCGGTGCGGCTTCCCGGCGATCATATTGTTGATATGTGATATATTCCGGGTGATTTCGGATGGCCTGGTATTACTAAAGATCAGTCATATTATTACAGCCGCCCTTGGAGGAGGATCTTATTGTCAGAAGCAGACCTGGCGGTTGGGCTCTGTTCCCGCTGTACTATGGTAGGAATAGTGGATGGGATGAAGGGTTACAATCCCGCTAAAGAAGGCAAGGATCTCCAGGAGCATTGACCTTGGTCAGCGGAGATTGCTTAAACTCAGAAAGCGTCAACCAGTTGGGGGTGAGATCCAGCCCTGCGGCAAGGGTGCCCTCGGCTCTCGCTCCCGATTGGGTTGCTTCGTGACCTGTGGCTGGCTGACAGCTTCCATTGTGATTTGGCGGCCTGACGTGGCGTTGTAAGCGACGACTGAAGGAGAGCTGAAGGGCGGGACGGGGTCCCAGGCGATATGGGCATAAATTTGATCCCAAACATTGCGATATGACTTTAAGCATGAAAGTTGAAGTTAAAACATCTCGGGTGCCCGACGATGGCCTGGGATTGTCATGTTGCGGCGACTTTGCCATCCCTCTGACCAAGCAGCGGCAATAAACACGACTCTACTCAGGACTACGAAATATCGGACGAGCCGGGAAATATGTCGACCGCCAACAAGTCGTTGGACCAGTACATAGGGGAAACGGTCCCCCATTCGTTCAATGTTGGATTCGTGATTTTGAGCTACGCCATCAGCACGCTCGGCGCCGGCTCGACCCTCGAACTGATCCGCCGGCGAACCTCCCTCAAGGGAACGTATAATCTGTGAGGTTTCTCTTTGTCTCCGTCACTCTCATCTCAAACAGGAATCCGGCTAACCGTCTTATCCTGTAGTCTCTTGCTCGGGGGCGCGGCGATATCGATGCAAGGGATTGCAATATGGTCCATGGTTAGACCTCGCCACCACGTCAGGACTCCTAGGAAGCCTTTCCAGCTGATCAACCTCGCAGCACTTCATCGCAAACCGGGCGATTACCCTGTTGAATGGAGAGCCGGATCTGCAAATTGTCTACTCGGCTCGCACCACTGTTGCGTCGTTTTTCGTACCAATCGTCGTTCTGCTCCTTGCGTTTCTCGCCGTCAATATCAACGAAGACGTCCGATGGTGGCGCGTCTGTCTGGCGGGCTTGCTCTCAGGCAGTGCCATCTGCGGCATGCATTACCTAGGCGATGCGTCCATCAGCAACTACCACTGCAGTTACAACATCGCCAACGTCGTCGGCGCGGCCGTCATTGCCCCTTCGGCTAGCACAGCAGCTCTGTCTCTCTTCTTCGTCTTCGCGAACGCCTGGACCGACTCGACCCTGAGGAGAATTGGTTGCGCCTTCATCCTCGCCGGCGCCGTGTCTGGAATGCACTGGTGTGCGGCCTTGGGGACGAGATATATGTTACGATATGTGCACATTTCCACTGATGGCGAGACTTCGAGGAATACTACGGTCATAGCAGTCATCTGCCTGGTCAGTTGACGAAACCATGTAGTCATCAGAGTTCCTTTTTTGCTAACACACTACTAGTCCATTGTCGCATCTTGTATCATGATCACCACCGCCATTTGTACCGCGCGGACGAGGAAACGATATGCTGCAAAGGCACAGCAGATCGTCTTGGCGGCTGCAGTGTTCGACGATCAGGGTAGGATCCTAGTCAACCCAGATGGCCTACTGCCCAGCCAGACGATCACGGAGGTGTTTCCGCAAAAGTCAGTGGACGACATCTTCAGCACGGCCCATCCCCTATTCCACTGGATGTACAGGGCGTCCCGAAACTGGTCAAACGTCACGACCCTGCTCGACTGGATGAAGGCGCACCTGGACTACCTCCCCCATGGTGGCAGGCGTGGCATGGGGTCCATCAAACTAGTCCAGGAGAACGGCCAACTCGTCGAAAATTACGACATGAAATTTCGCGAGCTGTTCTGTATTGCTGCGTCCACGCTGTCGGCCCGGATGGGCGAGGATATCGCCAACGCCGGAGCGCTCTGGGACGAGATTTTCGCCACAGGCACTAGCAGCAAACCACGGCCACTCACCCAACCTTGGCCAACGACCGACGAGATAGCTAACCCTAATGGCCCGGATGCCTGTGTGAGGTCGAAGGCTGAAGGGACCCAAGACCAAGACGTTCTGCTCGAGACAGGGTTGAGGCCGAGCCAAGACCTGAGCGGCCGAGGGTCTCTCCTATTCTTGGTGCGGCATGTCAGTGCATCCCATGAGATGGCCAGACTTGAAGCTTCCGGGTTCCGGTTCGCCGAGCCGCGCCGTGTTGTCGACATCATCCGATCGAGCATGCAGATCAGGACACAGCGGCTGGAGGGAAAACTGCTCGACATGGCCACCTACACGGAGAGCACGGCCACAGTCGAGCCGGGAGTCCATCTTGGCGTGTTTGCTCTCCGCGCCCGGGTGGACAGATTTGGATTCGACGTCTTGGTTAATAGAAACTCGCGGAACACCCTCCCGACAGTTATGCTACCTGTGAAGAAGCTTCAGCAGTGGCACCACGACTTTCTCCTAGACCTCGATGGCCAGCCCGTGCCCACGCTCCTTCGACGGCTGGAGCTTATGAACGACCCCCAGCCCCTCAAGGCCCAATTCGCTGCCCAGCTGCGAGGGGCCATCTCTGCCCTGGGGAACGAGATCAATAGCCACGTGTGCGAAGAGGCGTCACTTTCGGCTAGGGTCGTCCAGATACCGTGCCGGCCGCTGGACGGCTCCTCATCGGGCCCAAACACTTGCCCGCTCATCACCCTGCAGGTCATCCTCAATATCAACGCCACTGTGCACGGCCGGTCCTGGACATTTGTGCCCCTACAGTTCTTTAAGGTGCGTCAGCTGGTGTATGAAAACTCGCCGCACCATGCCGTGTTCGGCCGCGCCCTGCACCGTGAGATGTCCGCCATTCTGTCGTCCCTACCGCCTGTGTCGGTGGAGAGATCAGGTATCGACGCCATGTCCCACCACAGCTCGTCAACTCTTGCCCTATGCAACAGTAGCTCCAGCGGCAGCAAGCCTGACGATGAGCTCGGCATAACTGAGAACTCCTGCAGTGGTTGTGGACAGACAAGGCAGCCCAAACCTCCACCATTCCCATATCAACATGCTGGATCCCAGCCGTCCTTAACGTCACCGACTCAGCCGTCGTTTGGAGGGATCATGGTGTCGCAGGAGGTAGTAGTGGATGTGCGGGACGCCAACCAGGAGAACACAACATCCCCCACGGTGCTGTCGGCGTCCCGCCCGAGTTCAGCCGGAAGAAGCAAGCGCACAGCGGCGGCGATCCCGAAGCGCGGCGTCTTGGCATTGGAGACCCGTAGGGATTCTAGGTGGTCAAAGTCAGACCGGTCAATCGAGATGGAACACGTTTCCCGCCCCATGTTTGCCAAGTCGGTTGCGTTCCAGGGGGACGGATGGAATGTGGAGGCGTCTGGGAGCGAGGAGGAGACAACGTTCCTGGATGAGCTTTTCGCGACGTGCGTCAAGAGGCGGCCTTAAATAACCGTATTCTTCTGCAATTGATATACGGGCCTAACTACTTTACTACCCGGGCCGCACCTTATACGGGCTGTATGGGGGGCCCGTTAACCCTGACTAAGACAGGCCGTCAGCCCTCGAAAGGCGGCGAGAGCACATACACGCTCACTGTCTAGAGTCATCATCCCTTACTAAGACGACTTCTTCTACCACTAATCTGATAACCTTCTCATCACGACTTTAACGAATCACTATAATATACCCCTATAGCTTTTTTATTTTTATTTTTAGAGATATCTAACTATATATATATCTAGGCGCAAGCGAACTTTATGAAAGCTGTAATACTTTGATGATATTCCTAGATGAAATAGACACTAAGACCAGATCGGAAGTTTGAGTCTAGGAGATCCTGCGTTCTAAAGTTTGCAACCACCATGTCCGATATGACTATAACACCAGCCCATTCTGTCGTTTTGTCAGCTACATAACAGGGGGAATAGCCCCCACAGCCCCCTGCCATGCGGTTTCCTGTCATGCAGCTCCCTGCAATACTGCGTCCTCTTCACCCTACCGCCTTGCGAAGGAGTTTTGGACTACCTCTCATCCTGCCAACGGCTGGCCATCTACAGCGGTTGGTTGAAAGTCTCCGGGATGCATCGATCCGTCACCTTATTTCTTCGACTTTAGAGATGGGGACCTTTGCAATGTGAAACCTAGCTTTTCCGCACGCCTCGTCGCTCATCCTGTGCAATGCCAAGTCAACGGTGATGGGACCCTGACGCATGGCTGGACACCGCTCTGCTAGGCCTCAACCGGGGGGCATGAGTCGATCGTTTGACTCCTCTTCGACTCTGGAGAGGTTGACATCGAGTCGAGGGATAGGATAGGCCTGACACCGTTATCACAGGCTTCAGCTAGGGGCTACGGGTCGACTGTCAAGCTTCTTTTAGACTCGGGAAAAGTCGAGATCGATTCGAGGGATATTTATAGCCAGACACCATTATCGCACGCCACAGCCAGGGGCCACCAGGAGATCGTCAGGCATCTTTTGGACTCAGGAAAGGTGGAAATCGATTCAAGGGACGATGGAGGGGGAATTGGATAGAGGCGGCTCCCATTGTAACGAGCTGGGTGAAAGCCTCGAGCTTATCGTCTGGTACTGAGAGTCTGTGTTGTTCGCAGATTGGAGGACTCTGAGGCGGCACTGTGATCAGGATGCCTTCATGGTCCGTCCCTGGGTGCAGTGAGTCCATGATGTCCGCCGTTGCGAATGGGATGTTGGAGAACGTCAGGTCGAGGACGTGGCCACTTGCGTATGTTGCTGCTCCGACCTCTCCGATGTAGGCGGGCCGGTGTGTTGCCGCCCATTTTGCTATGTTGTTTCCTTGGTTTCTAGGCTGAACCACCCCAGGCTCCCAGAGCGAGTGTTTTGCGTAGAAGTCCCCTCCAATGATGCAATTCGCTGGCGGGGTAGGGTCGGGCAGTAGCTGTGTAGCTTCGCTAATAGGCGTCATGGGGTGGGTCAGTATACGTTAATAATTGACTTTCCGTTGACGTCCACCAGAGAAAATCCCGGGCATCCCATGGCCGCTTCTGTAGCGCTCTGAGCCCACCCCTCTTGCGTATGTAGGTTATCGTGCGTGGTCGGTCATCCATGTTGTTTCTCTGTCAGTGCTGGCCGTGTTGTGGCTTGCAGGGGCGTCCTTGCATGGCCGATGGGCGAAGACAGCAGGACTCAGCGGTGAAGAAAAGAATACTACGGAGAAGACGCGTTTCTGATGATGCTAAGGAAGTTTGGCCTCGAATCTATTGGTTGGCCAGAAACACCGAGCAACACCAGAGTCAGCGCCGCGAAGCATGGCACGATGAGCTTTCTCCATTCTGCGAGTATCTAACGAAGGAAATAAGTATACCATGAACCAAACATATGCATCCCAAAACCACAAGACGACGCAGTAGCTTTTCTTGCTGAAGTATCGAGCTATACTAGGCTATAACCGTCAAATGCTTGCCTTTTCGTCCATTCGGTTCGTTTCGACATCGCCTGGATGCCCTTCCCTCGGGGCTCGAAATGAGATCGGCTCGGCTGGCAAAGCTTCCACCAGGTCCTGGGAGCGAGGACCATTCTAACATGTTTGAATCGAGCTAGTCCCTGGCTGTGGGCCACCGGGTGTCATTAAGTGAGCAGTACTCTCGCGAGATACCTTTTCGGCGTACTAAGAGGTAAAAGTCCGCGTCATACTTGTCACTGATATCATCGCAGCATTCCATAAGCCTCTCACAAGCCTTCTTGAAGTTCTCATTGCTTCGCTCGCGTTTTTGGGCGAGTCGATCTGTTATGGTTGGGATAAGTCAGATAGATGCCCTAGTGACCGACCAACCCACCTTTCGACCACCTGCCCCCACCAAAATAGGCGAAATTGCTACTTTTTAAAACTACTAACGTATATGATAAGTGAGTGAGCCAAATAAGTAAGTGAGCCACAAATCCCAACCTTCAAAATTAAAATTTCAATAAAAAAGTAATAACACCTTAAATTAATTAAAACTAATTGCTATACTCTTCTCTAGAAGTCTCAATAACAGCCTGACAGGTCCTTATATTATGACCGGCCTTTCTATAAGTTCCACAGCGCCTTTTCCTTGGTATCGCCGACCTCCCTCAACTACTACTTTTCGACGATTCAGCCTGTACCTGCGTATTAATATCTATTTAATTAATTGCTTCTCTTTCTTCCTCTACAGTTATCTTCCCTCTATTCTGCAGGCGGGTTCTTTTTGCTCTGTACTGCTTACTAAGAGTCTTATTTATCTATTAAAGGATCTGGTTCTTAGACTTTAATAATACTATTTAATATATTATTACTTTTATTCCCTTAGAAAATAACTTAAGCGCCTTAAGAATAGATACTAGAGAGCTGCTCTGATACCTTCTTACTTATCTTTTAAGGTATTCAGACTGCAAACTAGCCTTAAATACTATTTTCGGGGTCTTTAAGACCTAAGGGTTAGGGAGGCCGATCTCCTCTATAGCTGGTGTTAGAGTCTGTAGCTGTATATTAAGCTTTAATATAATATTTTCTGGGTTTAAGGGAATAAGTCCGGCTCCTTAAAAACCTCCTTTAATATTACTTCTTATTATAGTAGCTATATAGGCAGTATAAAAGGCTAGGAAGAACTCAGTCTTTATAATATAAGTTATAGAGTATCTGATTAATTACTTAATTTCTTAACTATAGGCTATTTTAAGTAGCCTAAAGTACCTGATATTAAGAAGCTGGAGTAAATAAGATAAATAAGACAGTATATAAAGTATAATAATATTTTTTTTTATAATATTTCTTAAAGTTAATAGAATAGTAATTTTTATATCTATTAAGCATTAAAAGATAATAGTAACCAGTTAATTAATTCTTTATATATTAGTTAAAGTACTTAAGCTACTTAAAATCTATCTTATTATTAATCCAGCTATTTTAAGTTATTATAATAGCCTAATTACTTAGGAGGTTACTTTTCTAATACTAGCTAGTAAGATAATATTAGCCTGTAACTATAATAAATAGCTAGATTACCTAGCTTTCTATATTAATTACCTAAATAACTATAACTTATTTCCAGTTTCCAGGTTATATTAATTTCAGGTTTCTATACCTATTTATATTTATAATAACTATTCTACTTATAATTATATCTATTATAAAGTCAGTCTTATTAAAGTTATAGATATCAGCTAGATTAATATTATATTTTGCAATTATATTCTTTATAAGCTGGAATTAATTATAAATAATAGTTAGATCTTTATATTTAGCTCTTTAATAGTTATATTTATAAAAAAATATAACTTATCTTAAGATTTAGTTATTACATAATAAAGTTAGAAGCCCAGTACTTGCCGATAGATAATATATTACAGTCGGCAAGCAGTCAGTTAGCTATTTCTTTAATATTATACAGTTATACGGGAAATCCTCGCAAATTCAGGTCGAGGATGAACTGAACAATAATCTGCTCCTCTAAATTGGATAGCTTGCGCAATTTGGGGATAGTATCGCGTTGAGACAGTATGCCTTTCTGCCGGCGACGTAAGGTAGTACGATCTACATTATAGATCTCTGCGGCGCTCCGGATACTTAATTTTGGGTTATTTTGAAGGGCTTGAAGAGCAAGAAGGATATTTCCCTCTTTATTTGATCGAGATATCTTTGGTTGTTGAGAATCAATTGATTAATTGAAAAGATGAGAGATTGAGAGATTTTTGGCTCACTTGCTTGTTTGGCTTACTCACTTATTATGTATGTTATAGTTAATTATAGAAAAATATATTAAATCTTTTATAAAGAGTCGCGCTATTCAGATAACCCCTTATTGCTAATCATATAACCTGTCACGTGAAATCCAGTAATTTCTTCTCTCCTTCCTTTCCTTTTCTTCTACATACCAAAAATTCTATGACAGCAAGAGGTGACCAAGAATCACGCAAAAAGTCTCTTAGCCTAGGTCCAAAGACCTCACCACAATCTCACCTCGTGGGGACGATTGAATGACCGGCATGAAGGTATCGCCGGATGGCGTTGGTGTTGCTGAGAGCCTCAAGCTAGCCCGGGTTCCCCTTCCGCGTCTTCCTCGTGTTCCTCTTCCCCTTGTATTTGTAGCTGTTCGTGAACGAGTTGATGACGGCGTTGAAGCCCGTGATGTGGGTAAATCCGCCTCAATCTCGGCTTGTGTACGGTTTCGACGGATACTCGGATTCAGCTGCCGTGTATTATAGCAGCTTTGGCTCTGCCTCGTAGCAGTTGAAGCAGTTGATGAGACCGTTGACGATGGTGTCGATGAACGTGTTGATGATGATGATGATGATCTTGTGGTCTCGCTGGTATACAGAGACCCAAGATTCAACGGAACAGCAGTCTTTTGGTTCATTGTAGCTCGGGGTCGACCGCGAAGGTTCTGAGCAACATAGGGATCTCGGATTCGGAGGAGTGGTTCTTCGAAGTCCTAGGCAGTAGAAGTTAGCATATTTCACATATAAATACGCAGTTTTCTCACTAGAGGCTTCTCAAGCCACTAGCGGGGATGAATATCATCCTTCTGGATGCTCTCTCAAGCCTCAAGCCGCTCCAGGATACGATGAGCACATGGGAGTGCAAATTGCTGTGTAAAGCTGCCTGTACAGGCAGAAAGATGCTTCGGGCGTGGATTTTTCTCTGTGAAATATGCCGCTATCGCGAGACGGGCTTGGTGAGCCATTAAGTCAACTGCAACATACGAGACTTGCGTGTTGATATCACGAAGCCATTCTCGATGCATAAACCTAAGTTGAATACGCATATTCATCTCTGCAGTGCGTTGAATATAGTCTCGCTTCTTTTTCTCAAGCATCGTCTCAAGGGCCTGGTGAAGAGCTAGAAGATCTCCTGTGCCGGTAACTAGAAATGACTTTACATCCCTGTGCGCAGTTTCAGTAGGGCTATTAAACCTTTGGCCAAAGTTGCGATAGCTATCGATGAACACTTCGCCCACTGAAACCGCCACGCCATATATTCCTTGGAGATATAACTGAGGATGTGATGCTGAAGAGGATATATATCATTAAGCTTCTTCCACTGGGCTTCAAAGTCAGCCTCAGCAGGAGCATACACAACTCGTTTCCAGGCTTCAAACATCCCTTGGCGACTGTGCGGGTTATCTTCAGGTGAGGCTGGCTGCAATACCAAGAGGGCGGGTTCTTGTTCTCGTGAATTGTTAAGGGATGATGAGGCTACGTTGGCAGCTTTAGGTGTATCGTCGGGTTCAGAATCATCGTCTTCGAGGTCATCGGGGTCATCAGTATTCCATCGTGATCTAATCTTTCCTCTGACATTAGCGTTAATATGCCGTATACAGAGTTGCTGTTGAGCAGAGGGAAAAACTAGGTTGAGAGTATTTTTGAGTGCTTTTTCTTTATCCGTGATAACCACAGATGGAGCTGGAAGATGAAGATCTCGTCTGCAAGCATCAAGTTGTTGACAAAGCCAGAGATAGGCATCATCTTTCTTGTTATTAATGAGGCCGAAGGCGAAATTTGCAACAGACTTCTGATCAGAAACACCGTCACTTAAAAGAAGGGCATTTTGAAGCGGTTAGTTTTGTATGTGTTATCGAGACCTAGGACCTCAGGGAAACGCTTCCACTGCGCCTCACACCAAGGATAAGTCCAGAAGATTCCTTGAATGCGATTTTCATCGTCATCTTCATATTTAATGAAATGCTGTAGACCATGTGATCGAAGGATTGAAATCCAGGCTTGAGTTGCTGTCATCCCACCAAGAGACTGAGTGCGGAGACGTTGTCGGTCATTGTATATATCTTTCTGCTTGAAATAACTTGGTGATGATGATGAAAGACGAAGGATTTCGCTCATTTCTCGCGCAGGAAGAGATTTCAGCTGCACAAGTGACTTTGCGAGGGCTTGTTGTGCTGGAGTTCTCCGCCGAAGGATAGCATGAGCAGACGGGTCGTGAGAGGCAGGATGATTATGACACCCTTTAGCCTCATAGACCCATAAAAAGTTCGTATTTGTATTGCATTTTGCTGTAATCTTGAACGGGCAGTTGATTTTTTTGCTTGTTGGCTGTCGAATACCCGTAGATCGAGACTCCTGCGTTGCAGGCTGACGGTCACACGCCAGCGTAACGTAGTTCAATCGAGGGATGCCATCAGGGCCTTGCTTCTTTGCAGAAGTCTTTGTAACAAAGACGGCCTAGAAAGCTCCCGTGATCGCCTGTGCTCCGACCATCTGTGCCTTGTCCAACCAAGCTGCTTCTCTGACACCGCACGAGTGCGTCCAACGCTGGACGCATACTCCATGGTGGGAGCCACTGTCGCCACGAACAACCGTCTCGCCGTCCGCAGTGACAGCATCTTCAGTCTTCTCAGACACATGGCGGCCGAGAGCCCCTTTGCGGAAGCTCTAGCTATGTCTTCCTTGTACCGTAGTTTTGCATCCATGACCACTCCCAGGATCTTGGCGCTCGACTTCGGCTTGACTACTTTTCCTTTGATTATGAACGGTATGTCGCTAGTACGCGCGGCATTTCGCGTAAAATGCACGATGGCCGTTTTGCCTCCTTCGAATGTCGCGCCGCTCCGTCTTTCCCAGTCCAGTGCTTCGTCTATAATTGATTGGATGCCTGCTCGGTTCTCCTCTGCTGTTGGTCCCACCACCCAGGCCGAGTAGTCGTCCGCGAATATTTCAGGCAAGTGCAGACGCGTGATGTCGAGTAAATATGCTTTCCACTTATTACTAAGAGCACAATGGGCCAATGGCGACACTAAAGCAACAGCCTACTCAGCAACCCAGACCGACCCAGACCGACCGACTGGTCCGGTCTGTCAGTCTGCGGTCTGACAGACGGACTCAGACGGTCTGTCAGACGGTCTGTCTGTTAGCCACACTGCGCTTGAAATCAGCTCATCAATAGCATCAGCACAGGATCTGGTCAGTGAATGGCTATTACAAGAGTGAAAGAACTCTTGGGGCATGGACGATAAAGAAGGTAGGACATCGGCCTTTGAGCATCAACCCTTTCCGTGTGCGGGTTCTCAGTAGATGAATAAAGGAAGATGAATTAATAACCCTATATCAAATTCTGTAATCTCAGAACTTGCCTTTATGTTCACATCAAGCTGTGTCAGTGTGCATTTTGCGCGCCTGGGACAGTCTCCTGGCTACAGAACTTTCAAGGTATAATGAGTATCAAATATCACGCACTACAGGCGGAAATTGATCGCTGTACGTTGGGATAGTATGTTACCGAGGCTCTTCACTTCTTTGCATATGTAACCAGTGTTGGCAATCGTGGCATGATTCCGTAAACCAGTTTGATCGTAGATTTGATCGTTGCTGTCGTGCCCTCGTCTCATGCGATATTCATAGCCCATCCAATCGCATCCCGCCGTACTTAGGATCTTCGACGGTTAGGCGTGAACTCGAGCGCATCCAGTGTTTTCGCCGCTTGCGCCACCACGGCCGCTGTCACTGCTATTGTAGAAGAGAGCCAAGCCATCCTCAACACCAAGATCCAGGTCTTCCGCAAATTCTGCAAAGCATTCGATCAAGTCGCGAACAGTTTAAGACCGGCCACGCGCTCCTCTTCGCATAAGACATCGCCCGCGATTTCACAGAAAGATCTGCTATCCTCACGGGCGCCGAACCCCCTCGGCAACCTGCCCAAAGGCGATCGTACGCCGCCGCACTCCAAGGACCCGATGCCCTCCAGCCCAGGGAAGAGGAGGCGAAGGAGGCTGCTGGTTGAGGGAGGCGCTGTGGCCTTCATCACCACGATGCTGGGAGGAGGAAGAGGGACGATATTGAGAAGCAGAGTCGAAGATCTTGGTTCGGGTAACGCCCGATCGGCTGTCCACCAGATCGAGAGCGGCGACCAAGCCAGTGTAACCAATGCCCATCTCCCTCTCAATCTTCTCACTGCCCAGACCCCACTGGAACATGAAGGCGCTCATGCAGAGGCTCTCTCAAGTCTTGCCGAGAGCATCAATCATCTTCTCGATATCATCGCCGCCAAAGATCCTGCCCCAGCCGCGGCGCATGCGGCGCATGGCGCCCTTGCACTTATTTTCAAGGAACCTGCCGAGCATCTAGTCGAGGAGCTGGAAGTCAGCCTGGGCGACGCGGAACTTCTCGCTCAGCTCCGAGATGACATCGGAGGGGAAGGACTGGTTCGTGCGAATGCATTCTACGAGGCCAGCTTCAATGGAGAAGAGGATCTCGCAATTGTGGAGGAAATCGTGAGCAAGAACGTCGAGACCGTGGGGCTGCTTGGAAATGGTGCTGAGATACTCGAGGATGCGGATCGAGACACAGTCACCAACAGAGGTGGCCTTGTAGCAGAGCTCTAGGCACGAAGCCTAAGCCTTGGTAGAACTGGATATAATAGCGCTCCACTTAGTTCGTGGCGGAGGGTTTTGGTGAAGGCTGTGGGCAGGGGATCTCTGGACGGGGTGGGTGAGAGAGATGGGAGTTATAGGCAGCATCGGGGTACTGGGACCGGAGTGGAGACCAAGGGCTTTTTTGGAAACCAGGGGCAAGGACTCCCGAGTCTGAGAGAGAGGGCTTCGATAAAGGAGTATCCCTTGTCTACTTTCTCTGTTCCCACTATCAGGTAATGTCATGCTAGGAGGCGAGAGAACAGCTTAGAGAGAAGTGGACGAGGTTCCCTCTTTAGAGCAACTGCAAATGCGGGACGCAGCGAACTTTATAGCGCCCCAAGAGACCGGCCCAGCTCGTTCCAGCTCCCTACCTCTCGCCCTTCCTCCGTGCTGTGCAGCGGCTGGGTGTGGACATCCCGACTCCTTCGTCGTACCTGGCTTGGGGGGGAGCTTGCTGGCGTGGAGTCTGGACGACGGCATCGTCGCGCTTTGGCGTGCTGTGGAGATGTCGTCTCCTTGGATACTGTTGAAAGGACCAGGCATATATACTACATTTACACTACCATCAGTGTGGGTACCCATTACTTTTGCAGATTGTATCTCAACAGATACTACGGATCTGCCGGGGCGCTAAATATACCACCAGTAGTTTATACAGCTGTTTAGTCCCAAGATCAGGAACCGACTTTGGCTCCAAGGATCGCCCGCTAGCGGCCAAGACGTGCCAGGCAATCCCATCTCGACATGACGTTATGATAAGGCATAAGATATGCGCATAAACTCGACGCGAGGCCAACTGATGGCACCGTCGTATAGATATTAACGCATCCCCACTAGTGGCCACTCCCGTCACTACCTCAGGGTCCGAGCCAAAGGACATGGCTACCGTCTACGGCGTAGGGCAAGCGACTTTTTGGGACGGGACCCGAAGAAGACGGAGGAGGGTCGGTCAGAGAGCTTTTTGGGAGGCTATTAGAAGGCCATTTGGAAAGGCCCCTTGGTCCGTGTCTCGTGTGTCTCCAAATCGTTACGGAATCTGTACTATGTCGGGAGATGGAAGGTGTAGATGGAGTGTAAAGCAAGCAAGCTTTGGCAAATAACGATGCAGCCAAAACGCTAAAACTGGGACTGCCCTGAGTAAGACAAGCAAACAAGCAAGCAGCAAGACAAGTGTTGGGCTCACGCGCCAAGAGAGGAACCCAAGAAAAGAGGCGTTGTTGAGGAGGAGACATAGCTGAGATGCTGTCTCTTGCTATCGAACGAGAGGCGTCAGCAAACCTAATTAATCGACCGGCCCAGATCTTGCATCCCAGCCAGCCGGTAGTGGATGTGGATGGGGAAGCCGATGAGTCGAGGTCCGCAAAATAGAGAACAGAGACGGCTCAGATGGGCCTCGGGGACTTGGGACTACACTACTGTCCAGTACTAAGGAGGGTACTGCGGAATTCAAATATACTCCTTTTGGATACCTGGGAGGCTGGGGAATTCGAATACCCTCTTCGATAGCTTGGAGAGTTTGGAATATGAACACACTCTTTTCCAGTGAGCTTAATTCACCGCAAACATCATTGCATATTTGGTTGAGAGGACCAGGGTTTAGTTGTCTGGGTAGGGGCCAAATAAACTGTTGGGGCCAGTTGTATCGCTTGATCCAATCAGAACATAATAGGACCACAAAACCTCCGGTTTCCCCGCTCCTAGCGGCCCACTGCGAGAAGCCATGATTCCACATCAGTCTTAAGTTCCTGTTGGTGGACCAGGGTGTCACAGGCCTGTTCAAGCGGCATCCCAATTCACACCTAAAATGTAAGGCAACTAGCGACACAGCCGATCTCTCCCGAGACGGCCTGACCGCCGCTTTAGCTAGAAACAACACAATCATCACATTCTCATGCAATCCAAAGGGGCATAGCTTTCAACAGTTCCTTTTCCCATAAGGTCATTACACTAACTACATTGATGAAATTTATAATGTCGGGATACGGGTTCCCAGCATCATGATGTCAGAGCTGCAAGCATTGCAAATATTGTCCCATTTATGCAGCGTGTTGTTGTTGTTGATTAATTATCGTCATGAAGACATCTACTTGAGATTTCTACAGAATCCCCTAGGGGCAAGATGACGTGCTAGGCTGGTGTCAACAGCTAAAGAAACCTAAGTACAGTAACCCGGGGCCGGAGTTACAGGCACTACTGGCCTGCAGCTCGGACCTACAGTCCTAGACTGCAATCCTTCTTCCTCTTCCATCTAGCAATTAAGCAGCCCTATTTGACCTATTATTTCGAGCCCGATATCCATCAGCGGATTGTCAGGGCGGGTGTCGGCATACCTATATTTATTAACCAGCTTGAAATTCTTCAGTATTCCTATTCCTGCCTGCCGGCATTCAAAACCTCCAGAAATCGAGATCCGTATAATAGGAAAGACTGCAGATGGGAAAACCTCGCGGGAGCTCTTAGAGGGAAAAACCACTGCAGCTAGCATCCATTGATCAGGGCCATCAAGCCAGAACCCTGATGCCTATAAGTAGCCCGATTCTGTGACTTCTTGTAGACCTGGATTAACAGCCGAGGTCCGTAGATCAAGGCATCTAAGACCCAGAGGTCATAGTAGCCTAGGCCCGTAGGCCGAGGCAGGTGCTAAGACGCGGTGGCCTTATGCACCTACGTGCCGAGACGCAGAGGTCAGGGCAGCTTAGGCCCGGAGGCCTAAGCAGGTGCCGAGCACAAAGGCCAAGGCAGCTCAGGCCCGAAGGCCTAAGCAGGTACTAAGACGTAGTGGCCTTATATACCTAAGTTCCGAGTCGTAGAGATCAGGGCAAAGGTCGACGCCCACCTAGATTGAAGCTGGTGTCGTGATTGCTCCGGGCGGCTGCAATAGCTATACTTGCTGCGAGGTCTGAACCAGCATTACAGCATGTATAGGAGCCACAGCGGTGTCGTTTGGCCCCCGCAAGCCGTGCTGTGACCCTGCTGCTATCTTAGCTGCCCAGCTGGTCAGGGTAGCAGGCCTCGATCATAGCCGGAGCCCTTGGGCTGTGGCCGTGGCTGCTGCGTAAAGGAAGTCAACCCTCTTAATCCTTCCTTTATTGCAGTGTTAGTGCCCGATGGGCGCCAGCTGCTGCAGCAGCCAAATTTGGTGGGCCTGCAAAATTTTCCACGCTAGTGCTAACAGCCGCTAGTCAGGAAGAATTTTTACAGGAGAGAGTTGAAGGTTGATTCCGATGTGGAAGTGCTCTGGATTAGGAAAATCAGCAGCAAGTTACTTATATTCTTCCAGTATGTTAAGCAGCAACTTATAGCCAAGCACTACATCCTAGATATTGCTATAGAAGCCAGTCCAGCCTTATCTACGCCTGCAGATATATCTATTACCCTTAAATATCTTTACTACAGTCTCAAAAAACAGTCAGAATAGCCTCTAAATGGTAAAGAACTTCCCAGTCTTTATCCGTTAGCTGATTCTTGTCTCGGAGGATACGTGGTGTTTTGCCAACTTGGCTTGTGTTACTTGGCCAGTCTTTTTAGACCGATTTTCGTCCTCCCATTGCGCCTTATACTTAATCAGTAGGAGTTCGATAGAGGTTTTTAACCGTAGAGCCTTGCGGATCATATAGAGTTGTGAGAGCCAATACGTGTCGTTATCGATAATTAGCTTCAGTGGTTTCTTGGATTGGAGTTTAAGCGTGGTGGCGTGATTAATTTCGTCCTGTTAGATATACCGAATTAGTATCAGACGAATAGGATTTAGCAAAACCGCTTACCCTCTGGACCTCCTTGAATAAGTAAATCAGCCTATAGCTAATATGCATATCAACTACGATATTGTATAACTTGCTAACTAGTTCTTTTTTGCGCTATTGAGTATATTCAGTATCAGATAACGCTTCTGCGCCTAATAATTGCTGCTCGAATGCGTCGGCGTTTTTTCCAAACAAGAGCGCCTTGGCTGATATATTAATTATGTGGCCAATATAGCATCCTTGGCGTAGTAGGCTATCGAACCCAAGTTCAGCACCAATAACCTCTATTACAGTATTATTATTTTCAGTATTATCGAGCGTGAAATAGCTAAACTTCTCTGGACTTACGCTAAGAGTATGTAGGACGTCGAGAACCTCCCCACCGATTGTTGAGCCGAAGTGACGATGAGCCTCTGGAACCCCAATTATGATTTTACATGGCCGATTCTTTTCATCTCTAAAAAAACAAGCAATTCCGTACAGGGCAAGCTTATTTCGAGACGTCCAGCTATCAAATGAGATATAAAGCGCTCCAGGGGAGTTCCTCAGCACCTCGATAATCTTCTGCTTGTGGCGGTTATACTCTTAAATGATCTTATATCGGACAGCCCTGGCACTCAAGTTGGCGTGTTGGATCGAAACGGAGGGACTCAAATAGTCGAAGATTTCTCGGAGGATGGGGTTCTCGGCGAAGGAAAGGACTGGTTGCTACTGACGATTAAGTCGCCCACCCTAGTTATGGCCCACCCCTGGCTTTGGTCCGCCCCACAAACGCGCTCCGCCGCACGCGTCAGATCCGCGCTACCACCTACGATAAATTGTTAAAAATCGAATTTTTCTCCAATTGACTTACTTTCTTTTGTATTTTCTTCTCCGTGTTCGAAATGCCTGAATATACTGAGCAGGACCTACAAAACGCCATCGTGGACGTCAGGAATGGGGTTGCCGTCAGGACCGCTGCCACACGCCATGGAGTACCAAGAGGGACACTTCGTGCCCGCCTTAATGGTGCCCAACCTCAACATACGGCACACGACGACTAATAGCGGCTCACGGCCAATCAGGAAGAATATCTTAAGTAATGGATTTTGCAGCAGGTGGCCCTCGGTTACGCGCTAATATACGCACAAGTGCGAGTAATTGCTAGCAGCGTGCTTAAATAATAAGGTGACTATAAGCCCCTAGGGAGGAAATGGTCTAGTTACTTCGTGGAGCGCTATTTAGCTGTTAAGATAAAGTTAGGCCGTCGAACTGACTGAAAATGTATAAATGCGGCTACTCCGGATAATATCAGGTACTTGTTTAATCTATATGAGACTGTAAGCTGGATCCCTCCCCGGCGGAGGTATAATGCCGACGAGGGCGGTATTATAGAGGGCCAAGGCATTAACGGGCTTGTTATTGGCTCCTTGCAGAAGAACCCTAACGCGGTACCAGTCAAAACAATAAATACCCGGACTTAGACGTCTATTGTGAAGTGTATCTTGGCGCTCGGGGTTGCTTTAAACCCCCTGGTTATCTTTAAGGCTAAAAGTATCCAAGAACAATGGTTTAAGAAGGATTTTCTAGCTAAGTATCCTGGCTGGTATGTTACCTTTTCGGAAAATGGGTGGATAAGTAATAATATTGCTGTTGAGTGGCTAGGGAAGGTGTTTTTACCCCAAATACAACCTGAGAATCCAGCTGATAGTTGCCTACTTATCGTCGACGGTTACAGCAGTTATACCTCGGATGAATTTATGACTATGTATTACCTAAATAATATTTACTTATTTTTTTTCCCTGCTTATACTTTCTATGTCCTCCAGCTCTTAGATCTCGGCTGCTTTTCCAGTTTAAAAACGGCCTATTATAGGCTAGTTAGCGAGTATATAGCTTTGATAGATATGATAAAGGTTGGAAAGGCAAACTTTCTCGAATTTTATATAAAAGCTTGAGAAATTAGTCTTTAAAAGGAAAACATTTAATCTGGGTGGAAGGCGACAGGCTTATACCCTAAAAACGTAGCTAAATCTCTAAATTCTCGATGGGTTGTGGTAGCTAAACGGCCAGTAATATTACTACGTATCACCTCGGATATTTTAATACTAAAACGCGGCGGCGACGTTGTAAAGCTATTTGCCGAGAAGAGCAGCTCTCCTACTTTATGACTGTCTATTCGAAAAGCCGCTGCGGCGTTAGATAAGGTTGCAATAGAGGTTATACTAAGGGACCGTGAGATCGAACGCTTGCAAGTGCAACTCGCCCAGGCAAAACCGGCTAAACGTCGTAAAATCGTCTAAGATCCGAACGAGCGCTTTGCAAGTCTTGCGCAGATACTTGCGCAAGCTAATCGAGAGCCTTAATAATGTGTTCGGAAGGCAAGAAATACGGTACAAGAGGTTATTATCGTGGAGGGGGAGAGTAGCTCTGAGTCGGAAGAGGAGCCGGCACTGGCTCGACGGTCGGCACGCAATCGGCGGCCAACAAAACGCTATATGGAGCGAGATTCAAGTGCAGACGAAGAAAGCGACTAAAGAGCGCCAAATGCGATTTTCCTTGTATTTTTACCATTTAATTTGACTTTGTTGCGACCTAGTTACGTCGATGTACCAGTTGTGCGATGTAGGCTAAATAGAGCGGGCCAAAGCCAGGGGTGGGCCAAAACTAGGGTGGGGGACTTAACTCGACTAGCATACGCTGAAAGTGTTGCTTATCAAAGCGTGAGATGAAGCTATTCGCGATATTCTGTTCTGTAGGCTTGTTGGCGTCCAGTTTCAAAACAGAGGCAATAGTCGGCTGGATCGATTTCAGTGCGCCTTCGGATTTCAGCTGTGCTGTGCTCTTTTTCTCTCCCTCTGGTGCTGGTGTTTTGTGCTCACGCCATAGATGATTTGCCGCGTTCTGGAGACCTGAAGAGGTAAAACTCGTGATAATGGGACGATTTCCGAGGATACAGTCCTTGCAAGCCCATTTGCGTAAGCCATGACGTTGAATATCATAGCCAAAGTCCCACAGCCAAGAGCTAGTATCACGAGCGCGTTCTGACCAAGTCCAGCCTCTGAAATGGCAAAAAAGACGGTCTTCGAGCTGCTGCTGTTGGCCTGGCTGGGCTGGCTGGTTGGCTGACCGTCAAAAAACTATTTTGCAAAAACAACAGCAGGAAATCTTAGAAAACGCGCTCAATAGGGGCAGTTTCTCGTATCACGTTATAAGATTACCTATGGGGATGATCGACCTTGGCTAACTTGAGTCCAGGTACCTCGATTTAATAGGCAATTAATATCCCACTATAGCTACCTAAATACACCTAAATCCACTCCATTACATCCACCTTCAGGTCCGAATGTAGTGGATTATTACGTAAGCTGAGCGCCGGCAAAGTGGATGTAATAGAGATGGGCCACTTATATGTGGTCCACGTGGATATACAGTGTAGTTAGTCCGAGCCTTGACGGAACAGGTACTGGCCCAGACTTATATGACTTAATCTCTACCACCCTGTATCTCAAGCAAGGAAACGGATGTAACTTTGGTTTGATCAAATTTTGGCATCCCAGGCATATTCCAGATGGCTAATTTAGACAACTCTTACACTAGAGCGAATCAATTAGTCATTCGTACGACACATCTCCATATGACACTGCGGATTCTGCATCTTATACATGAGTCAATTTTGCGTGTCTCGGCCGTTTCCCGCGAAGATGATCGTCTTTGTATGGACCGAGTTTCCTCTTTTGCTTGACAGTCTGAGATATTATGGATCGGCACATGTCAAGTGGCTGGGGTGAATTCTCCAGGTCGGTGTGAGTGCAGTCGGCCGAGTAGGGAGACAAATAGGGTGTGTAGGGTGATGACTGATTTCTAGGAGCTTGGTCGTCTGCAATCGAAAGCATTGTCGCGCCAAACGGGCCGCCGTGCACATGAGAAGAGTCAGGAAGCGAGTTAATCTCACCACAAAGTAACCCTGTCGCCATTGCTTCTGAGTGGCAAGGCCTCTCGAGGTAGAGACTTGATCGTAGCCTGTGGATGTTGGAAATGGATTTTGGCCTTGTATGATGACTAATTTTGGGTAAGATATAATACCAACTAGGGAAGGGGGATCTGCTCACCCGTTGACCTGGGTACGCCAGACAGGCAGCGTTGACGAAATCGCAGTTCAGAATGTTCCAACTTCTTTGCGTGTACTTCAGTCTGAATGGATGATGTCCCATGTTGATGTAGATCTCCTGACTTAAGTGCTATGTGGTGGAGATGGAAGGTGGAAGTTCATGAAAGAGGCGTCAGGTTCGGAGGATGACAACAACTCTTTCGATCGTAGGTTAGGGTTCATGTTTATGATTCGATAGGCCCTACTTTACAACATTGTGTGAAGAAAGCTAGGTGTACAATAAGCAAACTGAACAAGACTGAGTGGGAATGAAAGGCGAGAGTTGGCAAAGTAATTTTTAGCCTAGGTCAAACGGCTCAGAAATCTTGCAGCTGATGTTGTCACATTTTGGGATCATCGTACGATGCCTGGAACAGCTTCCAGACCGGCTGCTAGGAATCCGGTCCGGACCGGGTCTCAGACCCCCGGCAGGTGGGTCCTCCGGTCTCAGACCTCCGGACCTCGGGCCCGGAGGCTGCCGGAGGCCGCCCTCATCTTCATCTATAAGACCGATCCCTAGCCCTTCGTTAGATAGGAAATCAAGAGCTTTCATCATCATCATCCTGATCCTATCCACTCAGTGTGACAGATGTTAGGGTCGCACTCGGTACGACAAAGGTATGATGACGATCGAATGACGATTCACTTGTAGCATTTGGTCGGGCCATTTGCTCCGAAGGCCGCCCCCTTGACTCACCTACTTGCTGTTTCCAGCCACTATTGACCGGACCCTGGTACTCCCCCGTTAAAAAAGCGATTCTACACAGGCATGTTTCCTTCTTGTTGAGATAGCTGATGCGAAAGAATGTTGACGCTTGCATGTATCTTATATATTGTATAGTAGGGAGGGTCCATTTCCCCAGTAAGTAAACCTTACCATATATCACAATAACGACGGCGGTTATAGCTGCGATATATAGGCCGCTATATTATATACTCTTGTGTCGTGTCCGAGACTGATTCTTAGTATTTATTAAACTATATTGTATTTTTAAATTTACAAATCGTCCTCCGAATATAATAGTCCGCGCCCGTACTGGTAAATATTAAGTATTAAATAGGGTTAACTAGTCACCCTGTACAGTTTCTTATGGCTTATTTAACATAGAAATACCCTTTCCAAGCTGGTTCTATAAATCAGCAGTTGAAGGAATGGTTGTTATGCGGGCCTATGTTATATATTTTGGAGAGGTTCCTTGCTTTGATTATTAATTCGCTGAGCTCCCGGAGGTAGCTCCAATCGAGCTGCAATGAGGTTGTCTGTATGATGGGGCACTATTTACCCAGAGCGTCCAACTACATAAAAACTAAATACGCAGCTGCATGGTGCTGTTCATATTCTGATGACTTATCTCACAGATTTGCGCCCTCCACGATACACTATGTTGAATACCTACTCTTAAAACCTCCACTCCTCCACAGCACCCAAACTCTCGTGTTATGGCCCCGTTCTCCGCCAGTTCCAGCTCCAGTGCGAACGCGCCTCATTCTATCAGCCATCGTGATTCCTATCTTTGGGGGCGGTTTCAAACACTTCAGTCGCAGGGGGCTTCAACAAAGCCATGTCGTCCGACCGCAGCATTTTGGGTCATCAATTTCACAGTAGCCACCAGCCTTCCGATGCTAGCGCGCTGCTCTTTGACACCTCTGGGTTACTGCAACCACTCGACTCTATCCTATTGACGGTCGCGTCCCGTTTTGGTAACCTGGACTCTCTTGTCGCAGGGCCAGAGCTCTCTAATCAATCTGTCTACCTTCCTCTGGCGAGTCAGGCCCACATCGCCCAGCCCATTGGCACTTTCCCTCCGCATCCCGTCCTGACACCTTTGACACCCCTTGAGCACCTATTCCATTCTTTTCTTTCAGTTCCCGCACAGGGCATGGGTTTCGGCACAAACCAGGGTAGTTAAACGATAGATAATTTCAACAATGTCGCAGATATCAATTCGCCCTTAGCCAATTCTCTCGATAGCTCAGCCACTTCTCTCGATAGCTCAGCCACTACTGAGTCCGCTTTACTGTCAGATCACTGCACCGATAATCCCCGTCTTATTGGCAAAGTCAGGAGGAGAAGCACCGCAACGTCTTCTTCCTGGAGAGGGCTTAAAACCAAGGCCGGCAAAGATCGCAAGCGCCTTCCACTGGCCTGCATCTCCTGCCGCCGCAAGAAGATCCGCTGTTCTGGAGAGAAGCCGATCTGCAAGCATTGTTCTCGATTGCGCATCCCCTGCCAATACAAGGTCAGTACTCGCAAGTCGGCCCAGAGACTGATTCTATAGCCGTAATGAGCGATCAAAGCGGACGGAAGAGCGGGATTTTTAAGTACTGAGGTAGAATAGAAAGCGGTTCCGTCCTTTATTGAAGACGTGGTCAAGTCAAGTCGACTAGTTTCAAGAAGAGCGGAGGTGATAGAGGATCTACGGCTCATTCCATATTCTTCGCTGCGGCGTGGATCTAATGGTAGACACCCGGGGAGCCAATAAATGAAATTTTTTCCGCCTAAGAGGATAAGCCTCATAGGCCAGAGACACGCTAGGCTATTTACAGTTCAAACGATTTGATACCATCACCTAATAAATACTAAGATATGTTAGTGTGTATAACCGACGCACCTGGGACAATCTGTGTAGGAGAGGTATCTCGCAATAGAAACCATCGTCCTAGCAACAGCCTAAAATTATATGCTTCCTGTATCTTCAACAACCACCTAATTTTATAGCTTGAATTCCCTATCTGGCTAATTTCCAATAAGAATATTTGTAACGTGGGAGACGTTAAGGTACGTGTTATCTTAGTGGCAAACCTAGCAGCATCAAGTTAAGAGATACCAGCCCCGCCACTACAAATGCGCGGTATGCGATGTACCCACTATCTAGTGCGTGTAGGGTAGGCTGGCTCTTGTAACGTCACCCTGAGCAAAGCGCTGATAGGAGTCTTAGATAGACCAATTTACAGCACCATTTCGTTGAACAAACCCAGGGCCAGCCCTTCACAGCCGGGATCCGTGCAATCTTGCGTAAGCAGAGATATATTCAGACACTCTCGTATCTTAAGTAGCCAATTTGCGGGCCATAACGGTCATCTCAATAATTTGCTTCTTTTGTGGGAATGGCCTCACTCGAGTCAGAAACCCATGTTCAGAAGGATCACATCTCTACAATACACTATGTAAGTGACAATTAATCACCTGCTATCCGGTCTTGGCTCGGAACAGCTTCCTTATCACTAACGGCCCATTGTCCTACTGCTCAACCCCCGCTTGGCAAGCGGAAAAAATATCCAAGAATCGCTGTTTGCTCACTCGATCATCAAATTCAATACGCAAGTAGCCTGGATGTTTACTGTCGGCCACGATTCTTCTCAGCCTGTCGACCAATTCAGTGGCTCCAACACGCTGATGAACGCCAACCATCAAATCTTCGGAAATAAGCTTGACAAGATCACCAAGTGCCGTCCCAGGTTGGCAATTTGGGTCTTCTCGAAGCTTTTCGAACGCCTTCAAGACCGTAGGATGTAGGAGATCTTTCGGATCTGGTAACTGATCCGACGACTGGTCTGGGGACTCATCCCGAGACTTCCCCGGCCTCTGTACGCGCCTGTAGAAGCTGCCGTCTCTTATTTCCGGTTCCACGGACTTCCTAGAGTTTCGAAATCGAAGCATAGCATCATGGGCGTATAAGAGCCAAACGATGTGTTCGAGAAACATGCAGCCCATTGACCACATATCATATCTGCGCGATCGCGGGTCTTTCACGTCAGGTTGTACTTCCGGCGCTTCGTATATCGGTGTTGTAGCCCTGGTGTCTGTTGGCTCATTTCTTATATTTATTACTTGCTGATAGAACTTTGAGACGCCGACATCCGCAATGACCAATATTCCAGGATCTTCAGCTCCCTCCTTAAAGTGCAGGACATTCTCTGGCTTGAGGTCTCCGTAGCGGCAGTTTTCCAAGTGTAAGGCTAAAAGCGCTTCGGAAATACCCAGCATCTGGTCTAGAGACTATAGAGTAAGCTTACGAGTTTGTTTACTATCCTCTCGTTTCTAAAAGTCTCCCAGGTTTCCACCCTCAGCCTATGGAAAGAGAATATAATAAAAGCGATCTCTTGAACAGGTCGCGATGATCTTGATGAGGTGCTTGTGGGTAAGAGACTGGATTTGTTGCAAATTCTCCTTCTCTTTCTTAAAGAGCTCCTCTGTTTTGAACTCTTTAACAGCAACTGGAAGAGCGGATCCGTCCGCCTTAGGCCATTAGCCTTGATCACCTCGTGGCTAGGATTAGTCAATACTTACCCCGAAGCCCTGGTGATGGGCTGGATGGACTGCTCCTTTGTACACGACGGCGAAGGGGCCCGAAGCCGCCTCGTAGCACTGAGTAAGTGGTAGAGCGCAGTGGGTGTCCATCTCGAAATGTCCACCGGGGATGTTAAAAAAGGGCGCCTGAACCATCCATTGCCTCTCATAGAAGTCCCTGGCTTGCACTTGGGAGGCAAAACACTTGAATTCTTTCGAATCTTTCCCATCCTTTTTGGATATCAAAACACTTTTAGGTTTAATATCTTCTTCAAGCGAAAGAGAAAGATGCTCATCTGTTAACCCATCTTGAATCATCGAGTGCATGGCATGAGGTTTCTCTATCAGCACGAGGATCGCAAATAACCTTTTGGCGTCTCGAGCAATCCTGTCAGCGAGACGAGGATGAAAGAGCCGAGTGTAGAGAGGCAACTGCGAGCAAATGTTCCGCTTGGTGAGTTTCTCGTTTAGACAGCTTAACGGCAGAAAGGTCGGCTGCCCAAGAGGGCCCTTGACTTCACAGTCACTTAATTCATCACTGAAAGTCATGGCGACAAGTATGCACTTGGCTGGAACTAATGCATGTGCTTCGTTTCAACGATTGAAGGAAAAATCGCGTGAGAGAGATGTTGGCAAAAGGAAGTTCATGCAGCATCAACGGTGCGCGACTTTTTGAGACGGGTCATGGCCAAGTACCTGAAATATGCGGCTCTTGGATCAATGGTTCAGCTTCAACCCAGCTGACGCCAGGCATCGACTGCGACGGCCATTTCCGGCCCGGTTGATAAGTGTACAGTACAACCTTAGGACGGGCTGGGGAGCAGGTAATTAGTGCTTGCATACCGTACCTTTCAAGGATACAGAAGGGCTGAGTCACAATTGCATCATTGCTTCTTGGTTTGTTCATCTGCATGTTGAAGGCTGCGCCCTGCCAGGGAATATCCCCATTTCAAGGCGCATGAAGGGGTGAAGTCGTTACCAATAGAAGCTAGAATGGTTCCCATCCTATTGAATCGTTGGTCAATATTGCGTCTCCTTGCATATGGCTCAGCCCTGGACTGATATGTAGGTGTTCACACCCTCAAAAAGTGATAAGCAGCCCTATTGGTCCATATATGTGATAATGCCTCACATCTGCATTGCTACCCCGCCCCCAACCTTGGCCGGGGTGGCATGACTGACTCCTAGGCTCCAATGCCCAGTCACTTGACTTTGCCTTGTTTCCTCATAAAGTGTAGGCTGGGTTGCCTTATCGTTTGCCTTGGTGCCTGGTTATGGTCCTGATTCGATGGATGCCAGCTCCAACCAACAACCAATACCTCACCTCACGAAAAAGTCTCCCCACGACCCGACCTGCGAAGTGCGAACTATCTTGCCGTCAGGCACAAGGGGAATTACAAAGAACAGATGGGTCTCTGGAGAACGGAAAGGTACCCAGCATCGCCCGAAGGATTTGAAGCAAGGGTTCCCCCTTCTCTTTGAAACTACTTGACTCTGTCGTAGGCAGTCCTTTTCAAACATCAGCACGAATAGAACCCAGCCACCACCCAACGAGGCCGTGCCTTGCCGCAACGATTTTGTATGTTGTATTTTCTCAATTCAACTCTCAAGTCGGTCCTTTGTTTCGGCAAAATTTCAGAATCTGAAGACTTTGAATCCCCACTGGAGTCACTGGACAGCCTGAGAAACGAGATCGAGGAGTCGCTTGTGCGAAGTGCTTTCGACAATCGATCAACATTTCTCCCCCAGGGCGAAGTGCTTCGGTTAACAACTGAAGAGAGAATCAGAATGATCTTTCTACATGCTACGGACGATTTGGTCCTTTTTATCTGCACTGAGGCGAGACGAATTTTCTTGGCTGTTGTATTCAGCTCTAGGTGGTGTGACAAAACACTGTTCAAGATCGCAGAGCAGCTTCAAACACATAACATCACCGATATGCAATTGCCCATTGACGACCTTTCATCCAATGGGAGTTGCAAAGTACTCCAGAGGAAGCTGAAGTCTGGCTGTACACACGCGGCGGCTCTAAGTGCCTTCCATGAGTGGAAGGGGTTGGAGATGAAGCGTTTCTGCAGGATTCAGCAGCAGTTCAACTCACCAGTGTTCAAAAGGGGCGGAGTAGGGAAACATTTTCCCACAGGCTGTATTCTACCTTTCACAGAGGTCAAGTACAATGTGAAGCATGGCCACTTTAGCTCGGTCCATGAGGCCAAGCTTCGAGCGGATCACATAGATCACCCCAAGGTAAGAAACTCAAAAGACAACCGTTACTACATGCAGACACTAAAATAAATAGTATAATACCGAAGTTATTCGCGTTGCTATTAAGGAGCTCATATGTCCCCAAAACGAACCGAAGTTCAAGACTGAATCGGCGTGGGGGCGCGAGGTCAAAGCCCTGGACGGCATTAGCGATATTTGCCATCCGCACTTGATTGATCGCTTGGCTGCCTTTAAGCGCGACCAAAAGCATTTCATTCTATTCGAATGGGCGGATTCCGGCACTCTTAGAGACGTGTGGAACGATAATCCGAACATCCACCTGCAGCTGAATGGAAAACACATCGAGTGGTTTTTAAAGCAAATACTTGGCTTGGTCAGAGCCCTTTGTGAATTACATAAATCCAAACCTCCGAAGAAGCCGCCCATCACAGTGACTCACAAGTCAGAGGAAACCGGCAGGCAACAGAACGATGCTGGTATCCCCATCATTATTACCAACGCAGACGGTGACGACAGCAGTACCAAGTCTACAAACACTGCGCCACATTGGCGCCTTGGCGAACTCAAGCCCGACAACATTCTAGCATTTTCACAGTCAGAGAAAATCTGGCTCAGCACATTGAAGATTGCCGATCTCGGACTGGCTATGCAATATGAATATAAGACATTAAGCAGAGTAGAGTCCACTGGGACAACACATTCCACGTTGCACTAAGAGGCCCCTGAGGTCATCACACAACCTAACAAGCCAAGATCACAACGTTACGATATATAGTCTATAGGTTGTATCATCTTTGAGTCGTTAATTTGGCTTCTTTATAGCTATAATACCCTCAACACTTTCTTGAAGAAGTCTCCGGGGAACTCGAATCAAACTCTCTATTTCGCTACTCAGGGCCAACTTGGTGGAACGGCCCAGATTAGCCAACTTGTGAACAGTCTGATCAATCAGATGCTCGACAAGGACCCCGAGTGCAGCAAGTCTCTGCCGACTGCTATTAGAGATCTTGCCACGTTGGTTCGGGACAGACTACTGGTGGTTGCCTTGCCACCAAGATCTTCAAGCTCTTCCGAGGAGTCTAGCGCCCAGTACCGCGCCAAAGCGGGTGAATTGGAGAGTGAAATGCTCCGCATCTGGAAAAAGGCACGAAGCGAGGATGCTTATCTGTTCACTGGGACGGACCGATCTGGTGCTCCGACACCTACGACTCTTTCTTCGGTCTCTACCAGCCCAGCAAAGAGAAAAGACTCAACTAGAAGGGACTCTGGGGTTTATGTTGGGTTGTTGCCACAAAAGCGGGTTAGTTAGTTACGCTCGGAATGCTGCCCATCATTGAAGGACTCACAAAACCGCTAACGAGCACACGTTCAATATAGACATGGAATGTGCGTCCTATTGAAGACCTTGATGAAGGCCCAGAAGGGATAACTGACAAGTTGACGCGGCTTTGAAGACTGTAAGTTGAAATGATTACATAGAATACCGATGGAGTGCCTAATACAAGCCACAGTATGTAAGTCACATATAGGCAGTATATGATAAGGTACACGGCTGAAGGAAAGTTTCTGGAATCTCAGAGTGTAAGTTGTGACAGTTCGACGCATGGGGCAGTACAAGAATCGTTATTTTATTGACATTATGATATAGCACGTGAGTTCTGATGGCTCCAGAATCCAATATTTCTGAACTCTGGCTGACTGCAGGCATTTTTCTCGGCGTTAGGTGGTAGGTCCAATATCAATTTGACTCTTTCACCATTGCAAAAATGAATAGATAGCTAACGTCGCTCTCTCTGCAGCCGGTATGAGCCTCTGTATTCTGTTAGTTTTCAAGAAACTAAAATGAAACAGCTAGATGATAGTTGGGAGTTCTTGAGCGACAATCACTTTGCTCTGGATTTCTTTCGCCTCGACGGAGTTAACCCTTTACCCAACATGGCACAACCGAGATCAAAAAAATATGAACGATGTCGGCAGCTAAATTCTTGGATATCGAATCTTCCCATCAGCGATACCATCACTGGATTGGAGGAGCGGTCAACGACTTGCGACTGTTGTGACTTATTGCTTACCACCTGTACTCTTGGACCAGGCCAACAGATCTATCCTCAGTACGAAGAAGTTGAATTCCGCCGAGTCGGGTCAGGCGCCACTCGTGTCTTGTCGATTTGCGAAACCGGAAGTATGTGCAGTCAACCCAGGCCAGGGAGTTCATGCATCATAGGCTGATAGACACCCAGCCCATGAATCGGTTACCAGCAGTCCCTTTGGCGACATCCAAATAGGTTTCCCATTACTCCCCGAAATCGAGACCGCGACATATTTCGAACTTCTCCGCCAATGGTTACAGGACTGCGATAATCACCCCGGATGCTCCCATGAGAATACCACAACCGGTCCCCTGAGGAACCCAACCAGGCTAATCGATGTGGGCGAGATGGGGTCGACCAAGGTTCATCTCTCTGATACAAAACGTTGTGGGCTATCTCATCAGGGAGGTCTGAGATATATCGCATTGTCTCGCCCCTGGGGAGACGAAAAGTGTCACAATCACTTCTCAACAACCAGCAAGAACATTGACAATCGTTTAGGAGAGGGAATCGCCTTTGACGAGCTCCCGGCTACTTTCAAAGATGCAGTCAAGGTCACACGAGAACTCAAGGTACAATATCTTTGGATAGATTCCATCTGTATCATTCAGGGTGACGATGGCGACTTCAAAGACGAAGCAGAGCACATAGAGGAGGTCTTCAGCTTTGCGTACTGCGTGATTGCTGCGAGCCGCGCCGAGGGAACTTCATCAGGCTTCCTGGGGAAACGACGAAACAGGAAGTTTGTTGAGTTTTCGAAATCTTCGGGCACTACGTTTTACGTTTGCGAAGCTATTGATGACTTTCAGCGGGATGTGATAGACGGGGCATTGAATAAGCGAGGATGGGTGCTACAAGAGAGGGCTCTTGCCCGGCGTATGATCTATTTCACGGAGACTCAGACATACTGGGAATGTGGCGAGGGCATTCGCTGAGAAACACTTACCAAAATAAGAAAGTGGGACAGCATTCCTTTATCCTCATTATTGCCTGGCTGATATTGGACAGCAACAAAGCCGCATTTCTCAGCGACCCTGTTTCCCCAAAGGTTGCCACGAACTCTACGAAAGGTAGCCAGATCCGTCTTTACGAATCTCTTTACCGGCAGTACTCGACCCTTCAGTTCACCAAGGCATACGATAGACCAATTGCCATTGCCGGCTTAGAGCAGCGACTCATACGAGCATTTGGCAAACCTGGTGGTTTTGGCGTCTTTAATCGCTACTTTAGGAGAAGTCTTCTATAGCAGCAAGATATTGAAGCTATAAAAGACATCAAGTTTCCATCTCAACAATACCGGCAACCATCTTAGTCTTGGATGGCATACGAGGGAGGTATCACCTTTATGGATGTGCCATTTGATGGTGTGAAGTGGGACGAGCCGGACGGCTCGCAGATACAGTCGCCGTGGAGTTTCAGTGGCACATCGAGCTCATCATGGCACACGGGAGATTCCAAATTCAGCATCCTGACAGGCATAGCTAGAGAGATGAACCTGGAATTACCGTGTCCGCACATTATTTTCGACAAATTGGCTCCACCCGGAGATCGAGCTCTGAGGTGTGTTGTGATCGGAAGCCAGAAGCCAGAAGTTGCACCGAATATAGCTGCCCGGAAGTACTACGTTCTTGTTATAACAAAGAGATCGGATGTTTCAGATGATATGCCATATGAAAGAGTTGGGGTTGGAACACTGCTTGGTAGTTGGATCGCATTGGAGGGGCCGGGTTCAAAGGTGCTGATACATTAGCACAAGATATCTGCTTAGCTGCCTTTTCTCGATCGATGCAACCTCTTGTTTCTTTTTCTAACGTCAACAGTGTTCTCCCGCTTCTTTGCAATCTGATAACGATTTGCTAGCGTTGTTCAGTGTTTCTTTTAACCTGATCGGGACTTATTTCTTTGTCCTTGAGCTCCAACAACATGTTCTCTTAAGTACTCTCTTTTTTGCTCGCCATGGTATTACTATGATGTTCCGAACACATCATGTGGATCTTTGCTGAGTTCCACCAAACCATGGTCAAAACTGAGCCTCCAAACGGCATTATGTTCAAGACTTCGCTCAACATGGAACGTCTATAGAGCAATGAAAGACCACCCTCAGTATTGTGAGCTATAGTTTGCTTGTGAACTGGACTGTTTAACTTTGTTTAGTCCTATTACCAGCTGACTCGCAAGTTTACCCAAGCTTTTTACTAGAAGACTGAATCATGGGTAAAGATAGATCACACAGACCCCGTCTAGGGCCTCAGCCAAGTCCCAGCCTGGCTGGCGGTCCATTCCATTTCCATCCAAAAGATACCTTAATTTGTATGTGAAAATGCCTGGTAAATAGGCACTTGAGATCTCTACCGACCATGACCAAGTTGGTCCACGCTGAATTACAGGGCATTTTGGGGACCAGGCCAGGACCCCCCTACCAGTCCATAGCCCTGCTTCCATTTCCACGCATCCATTCCACGGAACCATGGCGTGGATGGGTGGATTATGTAACGGCCAGCTCCATGGAATGGATGGAAATGGATGCACGGACCATCCATTTCCACGGCGTGGATGCGTGGACGGTGGACGTGGAATGGATCGCCAGCCTGGATAGCCAGCCATTGTGGCTTACACTATGGGCTCAGTGTCTGGTTGATAAATCCACGCAAGCACGTAAACAAGATTAAGAATGCCATGAATATGAGTCAATTCGAATGTCTCTGAAACGGAACTGAAACCTCCGCGCCCTGATGTAGAGCGAACCTTGTACGGCATATGCCAAATCTACCATGCGCCGTAACCACACACTCAAACCTAGAAAATACATTGCTTCCGATTAACAAACCAGTCATCAAATGCCTGTTCCTATCTAGATTATTAGGTAAGCCGACAAGAGAGCCACCAACAAAGTAACCCACAAAGAAGCCTGGGCCAACCTCGGCGCCGGGTTCGTAGGGCCGCAGGAGCTGTTCCGATCATACGTGACATTATTTATCTGTGCAGCCACCTCGAATACCGACCCACAAAAGCTGCCATAGTTGTAATAGTCCACGTTGAGGATGTTGGGCGCCCGGCCCCATTCTGACCGGCAGTTATTCGCCGCGAGACCGAGGCTGCCATAGCCGCTGACAGCGTTGGTCTCTTTGAGCAGCGCCACGGCCGGGACGTGAATCTTGGTGCCGAAGATGTCGAACTCGACGTTGAGGTTGTGGTTGTGGAGGTATAGACGGTTCTTGGCGGACTTCTCTCTCAGGTTTGGGGGACGCTGGACTGTGCAGGGGAACTCGCGGTCCAGGGGGTCGAAGGGCGTCTCCCACACCTGACTGAACTCGTCCAGAAGCCAGGGGTACTTCTTCTGATCAGAAACGTCGTCGGTAAACATAACGACTCGCTTGCCCATGATGATCATCTCCTCCAGAGTGGGCCAATCGTCTAGGGCCATAGGGAGGTAGGGAGCGTGGTAAGCATATTTAAGGATACCCGTCTGCTGAATGTATGGAACATAGAGGTCGGGGTGAGAACGGTTGCCATTGCCGAGGAGAATGGTGACGACGTCGTAGGGATGCTCGTCTACCCATTTTCGCACCTCGGTGAGCCACTCAGTAATAGGGCCAGCGTCGAGCAAATCGCATGACGTATGGCAGAAGTGCGGCACCAATCCGTTAGTCGGCCATCGAATCTGCGCCTGGATGAAGCGGATGCCGTCGTTGAGCTGCGTCCGGACGGGAAGCTCTTGGTTAGAGGCGGCGTTTCCAGGTCTCACGAAGGGTGAGTTGTGCGCGCCGACCATGGTGATATTGCTATACTTGCGCTTGCAAAGCTCGATATACTTGTTGCAGGGTTGGGCCTCGGTTGGCTTTGCTCGAGTCGTGCTTGTCTCTCTTCCATTTTTCGCCACCGTTCCCGTCTCAGTCTCAGTCAAGTGGGTTACAGCGGTGATAGTTCCTGTGGCAACCGTAGGGAAGAGACTAGTCAGGGTGCTGGTGAGCCACTCCGGATCAGTATCACTAGACCTTAGCAGTGTGATTTTGGAGGCATAAGAAGAATAGGGGCCTGTTGGAGGACCAGTCTGCCTTGTGATTTGAGCTTCTCTTGTGCCTTCGAGAAAGGTGAGATCCGAAGTTGCTGAGAGGTCAACGGATTGCGCTGCTACCTGGCTAAAGGCGAGTACCAGGGCGGCGAGAGCTGCGCGAGGGAGCTCCATGGCGGGCAATTAGCCAACAGAGGCTCTAAAGCGATGCGCAAAAGATGCTGCGATCCTTTCCCAGGTCCTTGAGAAAGGAAAAAAGTGGTATTTGATATGGTGCAACTTGGCCGTTTAAAAGATGTCGTCTTGGTGGTGGTTTGAAGGGTATCATGCTCTGCAGACTTGCGAGAGTCAACCTTGCTTGGCTTTTGGGGTCCCGTTATTTACCCCAGAAGAATGGAGGAAATAGGGCCAGAAAAAGGAGAGACGATTTCAGACGGAGTTTGGGTTGAGGGAAAAACTTGGCTTGTGTTGATGATGTGCGCCAACCCACCATGATATAGTCCGGTAATAATATGGGCTTTCTCTGGCCAGGGCGTTATGCCAGCGGTTTGGGACGGGCCTCAGAGGGACAGGCCTAAGACAATAGGGGAGTTTGAGGCGCTGAAGTCATTCAATCAGCAGTTGATTTGTCTCCCAAGGATCCTAGGCCCTATCAATCTACGGATCCGCTCATCGACATCTGACCTACGAGGGGTCAGTCTGTCAGGGACCTGTGACCATTTTGAGTTTCAAGACTGTCAGCTGTCATGCGTACAGAATACGTACCCCGTACAGTATTTCCTCCTGTCACCGCAAAGCGTCATCACGTTGGCCGCAGCTGCGGTGACGGGTCTCGAGCTATAGAGGTTAGAATGCTGGCCTGCCAGGCCCATCAAAGAGCCCTGAATAGCGCCCTCAACAAAATTAAGCCAAGCTCCCTCCTTGAAGCTGAGAACCGCCTAACGCAGGGTTCCACTGATGCTCAGGTCTTGTGGGGAAATAAGCTCCAGTCTCTCACGTGCGTATAGGGCTGCTGTCCAGTAAAAGTTAGCGGCATCTGACCTCGCCAAGCTGGGCCCAGAATGGGCGCATGACCCTGTAGCGTCATGCGGCAAGCTTTTTTGGTGGTGAAGGTGAAATCCCTGGACTTTTGCGCCAGGTCGACAGCTCCGGCCTCTTCTTCATGGTATGGGTAGCTCCAGCTCTTGGTTGATCTGATAGACGCTTTCTCCGACAGGCACACTTTGGGAGAACATTCACGAAACGCCAAATTATTTTGTGGATAGCGACGATAACGAGACTCTTCTCAATTCCCAGTCCGCCCTTTTCGTTTATATTTCGTCGTATTTCTGGATCTTCGAGGCACGAACGATCGCATTACGAAAATAAGCGGGCCGTTCAGCGACTCCCCCTCCTCTAGCAGTGAATTGGCTGGCCATCATAGCCACATATCATCATCATCAGCTTCATCAATCATGGATAAATATAGGCGAAACACGGCTATCGCATCTGCCATCTTCTACTTTATTACGATTCCCTTCCTAATCGTCGTCATAATCGGCAACACAAATGTCAACTCCGTTCTCAACGGCATCTACTTCCTCCAACTCGACGTTTCTCAGGTCATCCCCATCTCTGTCAAGAACTCAGATCTTCTTAACTCGGTCGTGCGAAGTCTCGGTCTACATGATTTCTATCAGTTTGGACTATGGAACTTTTGCGAGGGTTATCTCGATGAGTACATCAAACTTCCTCTACGCTGAGAATCCTGCTAATATGACACCGTCAGGGGAGTCACTTATTGCTCTAAGCCAAAGGCCTTCTACTGGTTCAACCCCGTTGAGATCCTAGTTAGCGAACTGCTTGCGGGTGGCCAGATTGCGCTCCCGTCTCAGGTCGTCACCGTCTTGAAACTCCTCGAGATTGGCTCTAAAATCATATACGCTTCCTTTATGGCCGGCATCTGCGTCAACTTTGTCCTCATGCTCCTCAGCTGCCTTGTCGTACGCACCTGCTGGTGGGGTCTGGTACTTTCTATCATCGGCGCTATCGCCGCCATTCTTGTCTCTCTCGTCGCTGTCATCGCGACCGTCATTAGCATTGCCGCCAAAGTCGCTCTGACGGCACAGAACCAGCTCAACATCAAGGCCAACATCGGTGTTAAGATGTTTGCCTTCATGTGGATCGCCGCCGTCTTTACCGACGTCGCCTTCCTGCTCCATGCTATCATGGGGTGTTGCTGGACACCTGACCGACGACAAACTTCCTCAGAGACGCAACCCTCCATGTCAGAGCGAATGCACATGACATCGCTACCCAGACTTTTCTTTCAACGAAGAAGAGAGACATTCGTCAACTAGAAGAAGCTACATGTTGGGTTTCCAGGGTTGAAGAACATGGAATATAGAAGCAGAATGAACTCCAGGGGCCAACTAGGAAATAGGTTTTTAAGGCCGCAACCAGAATCCGTGACGTTCCACCGGCTTCGTAGGGAGTTAAATGCTTGAATAATGAGAGAGAGATCCTTCTAGTCCACACGGTCTATGTCGTGTCGTAGCTTACTGTTAAAGTCGACGACCACGACAGCCATCGGCGGTTGAGCGTGACGCTTTCCTCTTCGAGATTAGTACAGCTAGCCATTTTAGGTGTGAGAGCGTGACGCTTTCCTAATCAAGTTAGCACTCCTTCAAATTCTCCAACCATTTTGAATTGGGCAGTGAAAGGACCTAATGGTCAGGCATCCATGGCAAGCCTGATGGATGGGTTATTTAAGTTCTCGCCCGCGGTATATATCGCAGCGTTCAATTAATCCACTCCCCCGTTATCCTGAAGTTTGGAGGTGTCAGACAACCGTTTATCCCGAATGTCCTCACTCAACCGTACCGCCGCGTGCTTCCAAGCGACTACTTCCTCTATGTCAAATTTTTCGTTATGGTTTTGCAATTACTGCAAGGATATCCCTTGGCCAGAACAACATTTTTTTGGATACCATTTGGGCCTGGACCGCGATGAGTTTTCTCATTACAAAACCCTTGCCCCTCTCCGCCAATCAGCCGACTTGGGTTGCCGCCTTTGCCAGTTGTTCTGGGCATACATAATTAATTGCTTCCAAGGCCTAGAACCACCTACCGAAACCTTGCTGGAGTTTAGTATAAGCTATCGGGATGACAAGTTTCAACGCATTAACATATTTCTGGAAAACACACTTGACACCGAGAGCATTGATGTGTCTTTCAGATGGTCTGGCTGCGCAAGTGATTTAGATGTAGAAAACACTTTTCGCATCAGACGTATGCTGCACTTCATTTATCAACTACCATAGCCGGAAGAGTCTGCTGATAAAATCCTATTTACAGGGTTCACTCCCAGCGGTATTTTTGATGATCTAAATGACCTTGTTCAGGCACAGATTCGTCCTTGGATGAACGAATGTTGCTTTGGACAAGGGGATCACCGGCATTGCAGGCAGACAAATGTGGGGGGGTTGATCCCGACTCGACTCGTTGACGTTGGCAAGCCTCAAAGTGACACAGTGAAGCTTGTGGAAACGGACAATCGCCTCGGAAGTACGATGTATCCCTATCTGATTTTGAGTTATTGTTGGGGCAAAGGGAACGACATCGCCAAAACAACAGTAGACAACCTCCAGAATCGCCGAGATGGTTTCGCTATAGCTGGCCTTCCAAGAACTATTCGAGATGCTATCACTTTGACAAGAATGATGGAATACCAATACTTGTGGGTCGATGCCATTTGCATCATCCAGTCATCAGGAGATGACGACCCCGGCGATTTCGAAAAAGAATCGGCAAAGATGGGGGATTACTACGCTAATGCCCAGTGTTGCATATCTGCCTCGCTCGCTAGTAATAGCTCGGAAGGATTCCTCAACGAGAGGCCGCTTGGGAGGTATCCTATCCAAGGCGTTATCGTTGCTGCTCTAAAGCCTCCTCTATTGGAAACACGTTCTTTTTCGCTTGATCCCCCAAGCTTTGACGATCACCCTGATACGGCGTTGAGGGAAGCCCTCGAAAAGTCGCCTTTGATGAAACGTGGATGGTATTTCCAAGAGTGGTTACTCTCACCAAGAATACTGCATTGGACCGCAAAGGGCTTATTCCGGGAATGTCGAAGCTTTCACGGTATACTCGAAATCAGTCAAAAGAGGAAGTCGAGTTCCTATCCCTTTGGTGTTCGGGACGTTTTGGAAAGGTCCGATATCGATGCTCTGGGCACCGGTTGGTGCGAGCTCGTCAGTCGCTTCTCGTGTATGGATTTGACCTACTCAAGAGATCGTCTTTATGCCATTCATGGCATTGCTCAACGCCTTTCACAGCAATGGAGCGACGAATACTTCATCGGCGTGTTCCGATCTCATCTTATGCAGGGACTCATATGGCACTCCCGTCCCGAGTTCCCTCGGAGAACACGGAATGAATCTCGATTCCCTACCTGGTCTTGGGCTTCGAGAGGGCCCGTCGAGTTTGATTACCGTAACCATCGGAGCTCATCGTTAATTCACGACATCCATCCAAGACGATTCCCCACTCTCTATGGGAACACGACCTCTATCGAACCTTCTGATACGAGGCTGCACATCAAAGCTCCGTTAATCAATTTAACACTAGTCATTACTGGTACCCAATTGAGCTCCGGCATTGAAGGCTACATCCAGGACGGCGACATTGACCTACAAGGACGTTCTTGCCGGTATATTCTTGACGATCAGCCAGAGCAAGATGACTCACACTCCTGGACTGATCAACCAACCCCTGATTCTGTGGACTTCGGGTATGTCCTTGAGGTGTCAGTTTTACTCGTAAGCGAAGCGGAAGAAACAGGTTCTACGACGGATACCGAGTACATCGGGATCTTACTAGAGGGGGTAAGCGATGAAATGTCCAGAACCTACAGACGATTTGGGTTGATATATATTTTTTCCAAAGACCATGTAGCTAGTCATGACCTTGATGACATGCTTCAAGCCGTTGCTTTAGTATAGTGTCTGGGGTCTAGTTGCGGGTGTCGAGAGTTACTTTCAAGGCTTAATCTTCTTACCTAGGTATTATTCTCCGGCGATTAAACTGAAATCGCCCATACAAATTTAGAGGACCTTCATAAGACATAAGACATAAGACATAAGACATAAGACATAAGACATAAGACGTAAGACATAAGACATAAGACATGGAAATGGAGGTAGAGTTAAGCGTGTGTTTGGTAGGTTGGAGACGGATGACCCAGGGAATGCTTCTGCCTCAGTAACCATCGAAAACGTCTCGAACGCCGTAAAATTTGGATCAATCGAAAGCCCAATAATCCTAGATTCTATATTTACCATCAAACTTTTCTTGCAGCACTCTTGACGAATTTTATCCTCGCTTTTGACGTTAAGGACCAAAAGCACGAAGGAAATGGTCCGTGCTCGAGGACTCCGATAAGAGGTGTTATCTGTTGCAAGGCGCTCTGAATGATTGGTCCGCGCAGACCCACTAAAGGGGCTTCGCTCAAACGTACGAGACCGCGGCAGCCGCCCTTTGCTCTGTTAGAATTCAAGGCTCTTTCATACTATGATTGGTATGCGCTTATAGGGAAAGCCGCGCAGCTCGTGACAATGTGGCAGTGGTGGCAGTGGTGGCAGTGGTGGGGTCCAACCCCCTCCAAAACACCAAAATATGGCCCAACGTCAACCTTTCGGAAGGCTGGGAATAGCCTTACTTCTGGGCAAAAACTCGACCTTAGATACGCCTAGATACATCAATTACATCAACGGAGGCCTGAAATTGAGTGTATTGATGTGTAAAATTGTTCCAGTGGAGTGTACGTGGATGTACGTGTAGCGTACACCTACATCAATAAGTGTATCTGGTGTAATGGATCGGGACCCTGGAGTAGACGCCTCCGACCAATCAGAAACAATAAAAAGACCCTCCGGGTCCTCCAGGGGGCCCAACTTTCTAAATCACTCTCTCTACGTATTCGAACAATTACGCAGCCGCAGTCACGAAACCATAATTTTGCGGCCAGAATAAGATGATTGAAGCAATCCAAGTATTAACAGCCAGGGTGTCAAGTTCAAAGTAGAACAACCTTAAGGTAGCTGGTTGAATTGAATCACGGTTCATGCAGGATTCTGCCATTTTGGCACATTGTGGTGGAAAGCTCACATCATTTAGTAAGGGGAGATGTAGAAACAACAAGGCTAGGAGATCAAGAGTGAACCTGCTCGCTGCATTCGTTCCAAGGCAAGGTTTCCGATTTTAGATGCTGCAGGGCCGATATAATATCAGGGCAACTGTAACGCACATGTCTCTGGGTGCGCTGCCATTCCGATTTAGTTGCCTCAAGTTGTATGTTTGGGCTTGGTGAGCGCTCATGGAAATAGCATGTCGAGCCTACACCGCCTCCAAGCTGTTTCATGACTCTGGGGCAACTTGTCGCGCTACATACCTGCGCCTTCGTCTCCGCCCCCCCGTCGTGGCGATAATATTCTTAGGATCCTCATCATGCTCCAGATCTGCCACTCGTCCCTCAAGCCATCCATCTAGTTCCCTGAGGTATATCTGGCAAAGAAGCACGTCCATCGAAAGACCCTCATCGCCATCTTTCGCGATATAGCCGTCTTCCTCAAACGCTTTTATAAATTCCTTGTGGTACACAATGACTCCTGCGATCCGGAGTGATTCTGTCAGTTCTGTGACGAAAGATGATTGCAGATATTCTTTTGCAATTTCCGTTCTCTTCCTGATCTTCTCAACAAGCTTAATTCGTTTGTCAATCAAGTCTACTTGCGGCAGATCGTTATCATTGAGAGTCAACTCCTGCAAATTCGTCGTTGTTAGAGTCAGCGGCGAAGTCATATCCACCAGCATCGATTTCGGAGCTGTCCAGCTCATTTGCTCGGCTTGAACAACATACGGCATATGACTGTCGGTGGGTGAAATACCCTGGCGCTAGCTTCTATCTATTGCTCGGATGGTGTTTAATGTTAGAAGCAGGCAGGGGCTGAGTAAGAGACCCAAGCTTCTTCAGTTGTGTATAGTAGCAGTTAAGACCAGAGTAAAAGCTAGGCCAGCATACAAATTCTTTTGTTTCTTTATCCTTGCACATGAATCCCTGACTTTGTGGGTAAGGAATTATCCAATGGCTTCTGAGGAATGAATTCTTCAGCTCTTGCCGCCACTTGCGAGCACTGTCTTTACCTCGTGCAGTATTAACAGCGTAAAAGCTCTGCTGATACAACATACAATACGGCTTATCATTCCATCCTTTCCGTTTGAACCGGCTATCTTTCTATTCCCAGAGCTAAGCAAACAATACATTAATGTTCTTTACCGCCAACCGATGTCCATATGCGAGCTGAGGCAGACGATGCCGCTCAATCAGGACTTTATCCACACTGTCGTAGCAGAGAGGAACCCCTCCTGATAGTGCAGCCTCTGTATGCTCTGGATGCAGAACTGATTTGATATAAGTGAAAATATCTTTTCGAAAAGTACATAAACAGAGCTGTTGTAGGTACTTCTCCAAGAGTTCCAGGCAGCTAGGTACTGCACTAAATCCAGTATCTATTGGCGAGCCTTGTTAACTCGAATAAAGTCAATACAAACGTCGCGAACTTGACGATATCGAGCGTGGTAAGCAGCCTGCATTAATAGGTTGTTGAACATCATATAAGCCGCATGGGGTTGCCAGAAAGTGAGCGTATTCCAGTTGATCTTATCGAGAAACCAAGCATAGCCGTACGTCTCTATAGTGCACTTAAACCCAAGTCCTTCGTAACGACGAAGGCCGTTTGGCTGGCGCGGATCAGGTTGCTGCCGTACGTCTTGCCAGCAACCGCCGACTTTCTGTATCAGTCTACCTGAATATAAGAATTAGAGGCAGCAAAGAAACATGAGCATGATTCTTGTGTGCTCCTAAGTCACAAAGTGCGGGTCCTGAAAGCTGTATACCATCTCGAACCCTATACAAAACTTGTTGATATTCCACCGCACCTATTGAAGCAAAATATTAGTCGTGAAACTATAGTACGGGGAGCTATTATTAGTAGGCACGACAAGGCGCTTGTTGTGGAGCTCTCGGGAGCGAAGTTGGCTATTAATAGCATAGAATAGCTCCTTAGAAATACAATACTCTTCTCTAATACTAAAAGATTTCTGCATAGATCCTAGTAAGGTATAATAGCATCGGAGCTTCGTGTATAGATATGCCTTAATTAATACAGCTTGCTGGTAGCTGGGACCACCTCTAATAAGTTCCCATATCTTTCTTAGCTTCTTATTGAGGGCAAGTGTCTCGATAGCTGTGTTTGTGAATGGATAAATATTGCCAGCTGCGAAGACCTCCTTTTAACACTAGGATAGAATTAAGAATAAAGAAGTCCAGCAGCGCGCTGTGGAGAGCGCTTGCCAGCCTTAATAGTCAAGCTTCCTGTACCTTTTAGCATACTGAAAGGATAAAAGACCTGCTTCTGGGTCGCTTTATCGGTAGACCCGTGCTGGGCCTGGAGGGCATATGACTCTAAGTAACACTGCTTGTAGAGTAGTGTTTCTGCTCGCATATCCGTTGGATCATCAATAGCCTCAGCCGCCAGTTTGCTCCAAGGTATAAGATTGGATGCCTGGTGAGGGCACGTTTCCTTCCCGATGTTAAAGCAGAGGTCCGACGTGATATAGCTCTTATCAATAGTATTAGCCCAATACTTATAAAAGCGTAATACTATTTTCTCCCAGGTGATGTCTTTTGTAAGAACCTTAAGGTTCTTTGCTTAAAGGAGGATATTAACATCCTGGAACTGTTAAAATCCTAGTTCTTAAACAGTAGTGAGGATATTAACCCAAATATCCGCCAGTACCTCCAGGAGTAGATAGTATACTAATTGCTATTCTTGTACTACTAGATGCACACATTGGGCAAGTATCTTCACTCTATGGGCGGTGGAATTGTAATAACTGTAGTTATAGCTCGCTGGATAATACTAAATATAGGCACTGCTGTAGTATTGGTATATTGCTGGGAGCAGAATACCGTTTATCCACAGCCGAAAGTCTTTATCCCGGAGCCGACTGTAATTTTGCTCCTCCCGATATAAATTGGGAAATAAGAAGTATAGAGATATGTCCTCAAATCTAATAACACAGCCAAATATATAATAGGGAGTTTGGTGGACTAGTCAGTGGACTTTATATTATCTTCTAATCTTATTAAAGTAAGTAACTAGCCTTAAGCGGAGGTGAAGATTAGACTGAAAATTAGATACAGTCATTCAGGTAGGAGACTATCGAATGCCCTGCTTGGCAACCGCAAGGCAACTCGGGAATACTATGATGCTATCCACATCAAAGGAAACCCCGGCATTATCTATAACCCGATCGTCTTCGCTCAAGCAAATACAAGGTATCTCATCTCTGGAGGAGATTCCACAGAACATCTCTCTTCGGGCTGCAGCATCCAGTTTTCCAGCTAGATCATCTTTTTGGTGTGCTATAGTCGCAGAGCCAAGGATGTCAGGAACCAGCTCGGGTATAAATTCCAGATATATTGCGAGACTGATGTGTTTATTTGGGTCTTCTGTTCGGTAATACTCTGCTGCTTGGTAGCAGTCATTGCAGCATCTCGAAATTTTGCGAGTTGCTCTGTCAACTCCTGTGCAAGGTGTCTGACTGGATCTTGCTCATCGTTCTCCGCCTCGGGCGAGGTTTGCGAAGTTATATCGAAGTTAATGTTAGGATCAGGGCTCTTATGATTTGGCATAGAGGGTGAATCCACTGCATCTATAGTAATGCCAACATCTGATGTACCTTGCTCTTCTATGTCTTCTGGCGGCGGAGGACTGGCGGGGGGGGGAAGAATTCCGAGATATCCATGCAGTTAAGTCCTGGTGCGCCCGTGGGATTGGCCAAAAAATGAGGATCGATTATCGTATTCGTCCACCCAGCACCTCCCCCTGACTCTTAGTGAAATACTGGGTTGTAGAAGTTGGCATGCGCCGTATCGCGTTGCGCAGAGGCCACTGCCTGCCGCCTCGCCCGCTTCTGCTCTACATCCACCTTAGCCTTCCCTTTGGATGTGGTATATTTTGGAGGCCGACCACGCTTCCGCTTTTCTGGGATGATAGTAGAATGGGGAGTTTCCATAATATGATGGTCAGGTAGTTAAGAAAGGGGAATTGAAGGAACTGCAGTTGAGTATATTGGGCTTCCTCAACCTCAACTACATGTCAGCGAGGTTATGGAAAGTCATAGAGATCGCCCCTCTTAACATGAAACCCGTTGCGATCCCGAAATGAAACTTACATTATGTAATATGCATTAGATAAGCGATTAATTTGATGCACATCGCCGGAATCCAACTGTACAGGGGCATGCGATATCCTGATGAGCTTTAAAAGCAATATAAAGCTGGATAAGGTCTAGAGCCGTTTTTGCGCTGGTACTATTCCTAAAGGAGCTTAGATCTGGCTGCGAAAATCGAATGTGGTTTAGCTTTGACCGCTAAATTCTGATTGGTTGTAAGGTATAGAGTCGACGACGAGGTCAACAACTTGCAATACAAATACAGCGACAACAAGAAAAGAAAAGCAGTTAATGAGTCATTGGGATGAGTTAGAATGCTCTAGTATTTCACTTGAGCTTGTTTAAAAAAGGATCTATTTGTTTTTGGTTCTCACGGACTGTCGGGACTTTTCCGTTTGCTCAGCTGACAGGGATAGTGTAACCATCAAGCACAGAACTATTGCCACAAGGATACGGTCGCTGCTATAGCCACATCAAATTCGTGCACAGATTTTGACATAGATACTGTCGCCACCAAGACTAGGTTGGATTAGTTTATATCCTCACTTTTGGCCTTGCCTTATGACTTTGATTGAGCATAGAAATGACTAAATATTACTCATATATTTACTATAGTATAGTGATAGAGTAGTATTTTCCTTGGATTTTATAAAACTTTATTTAAGAAGTTGTCGGATCCAGTACGGATAAGTCAATTAGGGCAATAATGATCAAGACGATAGTGGAGCCTAAAGATGATGATATTGATTGTTACGGCCTAGGTTGAGACCAGGCGGTTACAACCAGCAGAACCATAACGTACCCACTTTTTCACCTAACACAGATCCCAAACTCACC